GTCGTTCGCATTCGATCAGGAAACGTGCAGCTCGCGCCGGAAAAAAATCTTTCTGATTCGATTCCCGTGGAGTTTTTGTTTATTGGCAATGCACCCCGGCTAGACTGCCATTTGTTGGTACTCCCAATCGATCAGGCGGTTCTCACGCGCGCACTCGACGAACGAGCGCGCGCGGACAGAACAGAGCTCGTCGTTCACATACACTGGGCGGCTCTTGAGACCATCATAAAATGATGATGTCTTCTCAGAAAAAAAAATCTATGAGACGCGACGCGGAATCGGCAAGTGTCTTCTTCTTTTCTGTCCAGAGAAAAATCTCAGGAACGAAACGTAGTGTCGCATAATTTGTCATCGGATCCACACTCCCGTTTCTGATAATCGCGGGGCATTATGTCCCGATGCTGGGAGGCAAATATTTCACAGAAATCCTCCCACATATTGACTCAGTAGAATTTCACTGTGATTCACTCGGGGCTTATCAATCATTATGGCGGTTGGGCAGGATGGTCTGCTGGGCACGATGCGTTCGAAACGAGTGGTGGGAGGATAGTTGGCTCGTCGGCCTGAAAAGTTTCGAAGACTTTGAGGACGCGGATAGCGCGCGTAGTTCATTCTCTGCTACTTCAGAAAATCACGGTCGTTATCGGCAGCAGGAGGAGCTGTAGAAGAAACTGCTTTTCTTGCCTCTGCCACCACCGTCACAGAAGTTTGCTTTTAGGCGCATCTTCCGCCGGGATGATGAACTCATGTCTATCGCGCTTCACTTTTGAAAGCCTTGACTCGAGCGTGCTTGATCATTTGTTTCAGGGGCGCATATCGCCTCCATTTAGGCGTCAATCCGGCTTTTACTGCGACAGTGATGAACTTCAAACTTGACCCTGCGTCTGGCCGTCTATGACAGCAGGTAGAGGCGGGTCTGCTGATAGACTAGATTTTCTGAATCACTAGCCCCCACGGATTGATCATTGTTGGCTCTCCGGCTCGTCTCGGATCATCTTTTAAGAGCTCAGGTGAATCTCAATCTAGAGGCACTGACTCTGCAGGCCAATTCTGTCCTCATGCGCATCCCTGTTCGCTGCAGCTCCTCCGATTGTGAGGTGCGCTTCGAAGACACCTGCGTCGGCTATCAACGACTCAAGATCGATGCATCATCGATCTGATATTTGAAAAAAAAGTTCCGCAGTCTACCTGAACGCGTATGTCCACAGATCCTATTATCTGAGGAGCAGTACCTATGTACATGAGACGCTTTGTCCGTATTCGATGTCGGCTATTGGCCGAACAATTCATCTGTGACGGAACCGGATTCCGTACGATTCTTCTCTCCGCATAGCGGTACCGGGGCGGTGTATGAGAGCACGAACACCGATTCAAACGAATCGCCATTGTCGCGACTGAAGATGACGCGGGAGGGGGCGTAAACTGCTGGACGCCCCTCGATTGCGGTCTCGAGCGCTCGTCAGTTTCTCGGAGGAGCGAAAGAAAAAACAAATCGAGCAGTCGATCGCATCGCTGTGCTCGAAGCCCCCGGTGCGCTCGCGCCGCGCTCGGATCTTAAATAATTATGATACCAATACAGAGGTTCTATTTGCTGTCTGGCGGGCTTCTTTGCAAGAGATGTTTGATTTCAAGCTCGGCAGAACTTCCCCACTCTCTCATCCATCCTCCCCGTCTCTTTTTTCACTCTCAATGAGTACCGCGGATCACATGTATTGGACGTCTCAGATCCAAAGAGTCTTTCATCTGAACAAGCGTGATCCCTCAAAGTTTTTCCCTGACATGGCCTCTTGAAAACTGAGGTGAGTCTCAAGTCTAAATCCAGCGAAAAGCCTTCTCGACAACTCACGGATGCCTTCTCGGCTGTTCAGAGTGAGGTGTCTAATCCCACATTCCGTTTAATCCCGCGTGCCGCCTAATCTCGCTCCTCTCGGCGAAGCCTCATGTTCTGGGGACTATCGGACCTTGACTCCGATTGTATTTAGATGTATCCATCGAAGACAGCGAGCTCCTGACTATCGTCTCGGCTCGACGATCGCGAGAGGGATTCCATTAGTCATGAATCTCCACCATTGTAGTCTGAGAACCCTGAGACATTTCTGCAGTGTTGTCTTTGCAATCCATCTCATTTTTTCGTGCAGCGTGATATATTTCGTCCCTATCAGGGTTCATCGTAGATCCGGAAGCCTCTTCCGTTGCTAAAATCACGCATAATCAGGGCTAAGGATTCTTCGCGGTTAGCCGCAGACATCGCGACTCGTCGCTGCCCTCATTATATCTCTATTGGAATATGATTGACTCGAAAAACCGCGATTGATCGCGAGAGAGTAGCGCGTCGCGTCAAATCCACAGCCCGGCGAATTAAGTTGGATTTCCGGAGGACGCCCTCAGAGTTGGGGAACTCTCTCCATCATTCGCTTCTCCCGAAAATCGCTCCCTTGGAAAAAGTGAATCGGCACAAATATTCACGCTGTGATTTGTTGGTCTGAGATTTCTAATTGCTACTTTTCGCAACAATGTTTGAACACTGACAATTATCTTCACTGCTTACACTCAAGAAGAGACCGGTGGGCTTCTGTCAGAAATTCGAAAAGTTCCGGCGAGCCTTCCCTTTGACCCCCACCCTCGACGGCAGTAACCTTGTGCGCCTCGACGCTACGTAGTTTTGATCATCGCCCAGAATTCTCAAAAAGATAGAAGGTGGCCCAATCGACAGCTTGCATAACCGTCTCGTTGACGACTCTTCCTCATCTGAAGTTCGGAGGTCATTAGAAAAATTCTGACGCTTTCTGCTTCGCTTTTTTTAGCCGATACAAGACTAGTAGCTGTCATAGAGCGATCTTTTGAAGAGGAGCTCTCGCTCACAGATGTATGAAACGTGATACGCGTTTCCACATAACTTTTCTCTACCTCGCCGTTCTTCGGGCTCCCGACCAGACTCTTTCCGAAGTCACCCTCTCTCGGTTCTGCGTGTTTTTTTCGGATTTTCGGGCTGTACGGATGGATCTTATCCGCAACCGGAACTCGACTCGTTTATGGCGGGTCCTTCCCTCCAAGTGGTCACTCGCGAAAACCGAAAAGCGAGGGAGAATTTCTCCCCAAAGATCGCTCTTCAACGAGCGAATATCCCACAGGAATCGATGAACGTATGGTGATTTCCCGCTGGGAGAGTATATCAGCATCATCGAGGTTCCGACGCGGATGCAGAATGACGATCGGCTTCGATTGAATTCGTCTTCCATCATCTGAGTCCAATGATTTTATCGGGACTCCTCCTCCCATTCAGAAAGGCATTTTCCGCATTCTGAGAAGCGTGTAACTGTACCCAGAAATTATGGGATTACGCTCGAGCATTCCTGTCATAGATGAGGAATACTTCGTGGCTTTACTCCAAACTTTTGGAGCGACGCATCGCCCATGAGAGAAGGAAACATGAGGGAGGATCAACGTTTTCTTCTCAAATTTGTGTCTTCTTCTGTGGATCGGCTTCGAACAACCTTCAATCAAGAATCCCAATAACTAGGGGTATCGTTGAGATCCATCATCGATTGGACATTCGACAAGAGCTCGTGACGCGGTTGGATGCACAGCGGAGCCCGTCGCCGGTCCCGCATGCTCTGGCAGCAGCAGACGAGCGAGGAGATCGCGCAAGCAATGTCGAACAAAGATTCCCGTCAGGTTTTGGCGTACGAGGGATCGATTCTTCCGCTGCACGAGAACCGAATCCAGTTTCGCTCGAGCCGTAAAACCAAGCTCCGCATTTTCTTCTCGAGCTCGAATTCGGACCTTGCTCGAGTTCCTCGAGTCGACGCGGAAGCTCTCATGCGCGAAGACTCGAGGCTCGATCGAAGCGAGATCGATTTCGGCGCCTACGTTGATTGCGCTCACTACCGGATGTGTTCACTGCATGGCTCCGTGGGTTCTCTGAGAATGAATTCTGAGTCTTCCTACGAAGTCGAGAAGGTGTGAGTAAGCATCTTGCGGGAAACCATCCCTAAATGATACCGAGCGACGCGGTGCGAAGCTCGGACGAGCAATGCTGAGGAGACAGAAGCAGAAAAAACAGACTTGGCAGAAGTTCTGCTCTCCCTGCGGTCGACAAGAGTGACGACACTTTGTTCTTCTGAAAGGAATTGTCGTTGACGCCGCTGCGCTGCAAACAGTCACAATGCCAACAGAATACGACGACTCGCGCGCGCAGTAACAACACGCGGGGGCGTCATTTATATCGCTCGACGCCACATAAATCTTGAAAACGTATTTAATCAAAGCTACTTGAAAGCGGACCTTCACGCTCCACTGTTTTGTGCACTAGGAAAATAATGAAGCCTGGTCTCGCGAGTCATCGATGCGGTCGTAGAGCGATTCTCTGGGCTACTTCGTCTTTTCCTCAGCAGATAGAGCGTTCTCGAGTATTTACTCAATTAACCTTGGCTGAAATCTTACATCTCCCGAGGACTTCCCCCGGAGCGTCCACGGGCTCTTTCGGGGGCCGCTTCTCGGCGATGGCCCGAACGAATTGTGGACCGATCCCGGTCACATCGAGCGTGTGACTTTGGGAGTTGCCATGGCCTCTAGAAAACCCCCTCGAGGGAGCGCACGAGAATTCTAAAGCATCGGTATTCCCCGCTCGAATGAAAATACATAGATTCGTATAGAATATACAAATCTCCGAATATCCCAAGATTGAGTCGGATCGTTCAAACTATTCAAATAGAATATTCACTTATCCCAATCTCCGATTCAGAAACCTCGCTTTTTGCAGTGTGACGCCTCTCATGTCTACCTAACCCGAATGGCAATAAATAACTACATCCTATAAGAAATTCTGTACTATACTGGCGGCAGGAGATTATTTCACTGATTATATTCCTCAGATGAAGTAGATACTCAACGAAATCGAAAGCCCGAATATCCTCCCGGTCGAAAAGCTGAAAACTCCGAAATAACTAGTTTATCCGTTGTTTTCCAGTGAGATCTAATTGGCTTCCCCCAGAGCAGCCATGGCAGGTCTGCGACTTCTGCTGCTCGTGGCGTGTCTTTTCTACCAAGCTGTCGCTTACGTCCGTGAGTACTCGAAGTATTAACAGTCGGATGTTCCCTCACTCACGCTACCTGTCGTAGTCTCGCTAATCTTTCGTAGAACATCAGATCGACGAAGACTTCTTACACTCAAACTCGGAGGCGATCTCACAAGAATAATAGCTCTTCCAACCCGTTTCGTTCTCCGAGGGGGAAATTAGACTCCGCTCGATGAGTCCGACCACGGGTTGCGGATTGAATCGGAAGTCATTAGGAAAAATCATTCTATTCACGAGTGAGAGGACTTTCTTCGTCGATACGTTGCACCGAATAACCCCATATGTGATGCCACCGAATGTACCTAACTGGTTGGTGTCGATCGTTGGTTGGGACGTTGGAATTCTGAGGGAAAATCAGTTTCCGAATGGGAGTTTTCGGATCTGTCGTCTTTCTGTGTGGGTGATAGGTGACAATACTGCTGAATGGTCAGCGCGATTGTCCTTTTCGTTCTCGCCTGAATGTCGTTCCGGCGCTTAAAATCGACTCGATCCGGATTAATTAGGTCAATGTTTTTTGTGTCTAACTCCGCTTCGTTGTGCGTTGTATTCAGCTTGAGAGGGAGGGACCGGCTCTCATCTGATCTCGGATGGGCTTCCGTCGAATCAGCTTCCATGGATCCGGTGACCTGTCTTTGCATAACCGGCTCGCTTCCGTGGTATCGTACCGTCCAGCTCTACATCGTCCTCTAATCGTCTCTTGTCCCGAGCTCACACTTCTTTGTCCGTCTGTGGAGGTTCAGCGTCGTGGATTTCGTCCTGTTGCCGTCGGGGATCGTGTCTTCGTTCAGTATTTCGAAGCTGACCACTTTTGACGGAGTCTTACCCTTTCGCAGACGCCAACCCCGCTGCTGCGCTGAATCGGGCGTCTATTTACCAAGAGCCGTTCGTACGCGTCGTTGGATCCGGTTACGATCCGTCGACAGGCGTCTACGTTCATGATTATGGACGAGACGGCATTCGGGCTCTTGGTGATAGCCTCGTCATCACCGACTCTGCCTATCCATTGAACCCACTCGCGTTCCAGCCGCGGGTCGATAACTTCTACTCGGCTTCGCACCATCCCCATAGTTCGCACGGACGCACCGATGATTCAGAAATCGGTCATGAACTTCCGAGCCATGATCCCGTAGGGCAAGGAACTTATCACGTCGGGGACGGAATAGTTCCCGGCACCATCCATCACGATCACGGACACCACGACCACGGTCATGATCACGGTCAACACCATCAAGGTCCACAGGACCTTTTCAATACTCCCGGACTCCAGCACGGAGCCGACAATCAGGACGTCCAGAAACCTCGAGACCCAGTCCCTGAATTCCGCGGTCATTCCCACGAGGATAATCCGGGTCCGCAGCAATTCTTCCACCAGGGAAGCTCCAACCTACCCCGGGAGCCCATCGGGTCGCTTCGATGCACCGGCGAGGGACTTTTCCGACATCCCAACGACTGCACGAAATTCTATCGCTGCGTGAATGGGGGCGACCTCTTCCTGCAAGCTGTTGAGTTCAATTGCGCGCCTGGGCTCGCTTTCGATGAAATTTCCGCCGCGTGTACTTGGCCGGAAAACGTTTATTCTTGCAATCAGTTCTCGGCGAGCCCTTCGGAGTTCGTGAATCGCAGGCAGACACCTCCTCCGACGGCGAGGCCAACGCTGCCTCCCACAACTGTCGCCACCCTCCCGCCACGAACCCTCGCGCCTCCAACCCGGCCTCCCATCGCGGTGCGCGATGATTCCGAAGACCCGCGGTGCGTCCGGGACGGTCTCATACCCGCTCCGGAGTGCAGCAGACGATTCTATCGTTGCGAGTCCTTGCCGAACGGTGATTTCCGACTACACAAGTACACCTGTTACGACGGGATGGTTTTCGATCCGCAAATCCCGGGTTGCATCGAGATCGATAGCGTTCCACAGTGCCGTCGTCCGTCGCTCCCGGAAAAAGTTCCGACAACCACTGCGAGCCCCACACCGTCCCTGCGGAATCCGGCCGAGGAACCGTCGCAAGTTATCACCGCAAAAAAAGTCATGAAAAACTGTAGTCCAGAGTTCGAGGGCGACAAATGTACTCCGTTCTATAAGTGTCAGATGGTTCAGCCGAAAAGACGTGGGAAGACGTTCCGATTCGAGTGTCCGTTGGAATTGGTTTTCAACGAGCAAACTCAAGACTGTGCCTATCCCTCTGAGGTTGAAGGTTGCAAAGCTTTCATTCATGACGACGGCACCGAGTCACGGAAGCCAACGAAAAGCGTGCCCGAATCGAACGTCGTGGCGTTCCCCTGCGTCCGGGAGGGTTTCTTCAAGGATGCTCAGAACTGCTCCCGATTCATTCGTTGTTTCTACATAGCGAATTCCACGAGTGTTCTACGAGCGGCTCGCTTCGACTGCCCTCGTGGGTTGGTTTTCGACCAGAGTGCGGGCTCCTGCAACCACGCTGGTCTCGCACCCGGTTGCTCCTCGGCGGTCGATCACTCGAATGAGATTCTCACGATGAAGTGCGAGTTCGATCCTGTCTATCAAGATCTCTGTACTCCGTTCTATAGATGTTTCGATGATAATCGTAGACCCATGCGTTTCTCGTGTCCTAAGGATCTCGTCTACGACGTCTCCACTCAGAAATGTAATTATCCGAACCACGTTGCCGAATGCCGGACACCGCCGCCACCGAAGACCGAAGCGACGCCCGCCGGTCGCTTCTGCTCGGAAGACGGCTTCATTCGGAGTTCGACGAACTGTTCTCTTTTCTATCGATGCACTCGCTTGAATAATCAGACCGAAGATTTCAGCACCCATCTCTTCTCATGTCCGACCGGTCTTGCGTTTGACTACACGATCGATGCTTGTAACTACGAATCTCTGGTCAGCGATTGCGGCGGGAATGTTATCCCCGACACGCGGAAGAGGGCTGCCTTCTCCCAAACGCCATCCACTTACGATTCTAAACGGCAGCTTAATCCCGACCAGGGTCAGGTATTCGATGACTTGAACCTGCAGAGAGTTCCTCCGCCCTCGAGACCGAGGGTACCTGCTCGGACTCCGCCGCCACCGGCTGAATCTGCGTTCGGCGAAGAGACCGTGATTCTCACGCCGCCACGACGCCAAGCCGTTTCTGATGAGTCTGGTTTCTCATTCAGACCGGGTTCGGCCGTTTCTGGAGGAAGCACCGGAAGTGTCTCTCAGCCCACGAGGCCGGTAAAACAAAAGCCTTCTCGGAGACCTCCGGTGGGCGATATTCCCTCGGGGAGCTTCGATTTCAAACCTGGAACGGCGACTAGCCAAGTTCCTCAATCTCCGGTTCATCGAACCACGAGATCCCCTCTCCCAGTCAGAATCCAGCCTTCGTCACGACCCCCCGTCACGATCGCCCCACGGCGACCCCCACTCCCACCCCGGGGAAAGCCCTCGACCGGTTTCGATTTCCAGCCCGGCAGTGGAACCATCGGCGATGGTTCCATGCCTAGCGCCACTGAAATGCCCGCAGACGATTTCTTCTGTCCGAGCGAGGGATTTTTCCGTGATGTGAGCAACTGTCGAATTTTTCATCGATGTGTTCGATCAGACAATCCGCGTCGTCCGCTCGTGGCGCACACGTTCAAGTGTCGAGAGGGACTAGTTTTTGACGATCTGATAAAGAATTGTAACTTCGAAGACGCGGTTCCCGAGTGCGGAACCGTCGCGCCGGCTCCGACTCGCCCACCGGTGATCGAGGGTGCTGCTACCGAACGAGTCGGTCTTCGGAGAACCACTGTAAGACCCTCGATTCCTAGCAAACCCACTTTCGTATGGAGGCCCGGCGTGATTACCGAACCTCCGCGAGTTCAACCTATCGCGCCGCAGACACCAGTGCTCACTGCCCCTGTCGGGAGTGGAGTCGTCAGAGAAGATCTCCCGATCTCAAGTCCGCCCACCTCCCGACCCAGGAAGCCGATTCCCGAGGATCACAGCGAGATTCCGCTGCTACCAATCGATCCCCTCGAGGAAACTCCAGAAATTGTTGTCGCGGAAACTGATGTGATTTCCGATTCGCGGAGCGAAACCGATGTCCGCGTTGCGAACGCCGTAGAGATCCCGGTCAGCTTCAAGTGCAACCCGGAGGTCTTCTATAAGCGCTCGACACGTTTCTGTACGCCCTACTATCGGTGCACCCGAACAGTCATCTTGGATGACGGCATAAAGCAGCGAGAGATCACTGACACTTATCGATACGCTTGCCCGAAAGGTTTAGTCTTCAATCGCGATATCAGAACTTGCGACTATCCCAGTCGCGTGACCGATTGTGACCTCCAGAACCCTCCCGAGGAGTTGGTCGCGCCGGCGATCGGCAGCAAGAGCTCCATCGAATGTCTTCACGAGGGATATTTCTCCGAGCCCAGCGACTGTGGGAAATACTACCGATGTGTCCATGTGGGCAAGCGTCGCTTCTTTGCCTACGAGTTCGAATGTCCCCGTGGATTTGTCTTCAATCAGGATATCGAGAACTGCGATTACCCGGAGAACGTTCGTGGAAAGTGTCGGGGAAGGATCTCGGTCGCGTTCCCGCGTTGCACACTCAGCGAGGATCTCATTCCGTCTACGACGGACTGCAATGCATTCTATAGATGCTGGCGGCACGAGGGCGAGGGCTCGTTGAGAGCGGTCCCTCTTGGTTGTCCGAAGGAATTGGTTCTAACGGTCGGAGGCGAGAACGGACTCGGGGCTTGCGGTTGGCCCAAGAAAGAGGATGCTTGTTACCGTGACGATCGTCACAAGAGGACGAGACGGATCAGCGAAGGTCATTCAAAGTTCTAATCCGCCATGATTTAAACAAGTGCCATAATCTGCTTAGAAAGCGGCCTCGATCCTTGGCATGATTGAGTTGTCCGAATTTTTTTTCGAGCTTACAAGCTATCCAGCGTCATGCATTCTTCGAGAGTTCTGCTCCGAAGTCGAGCTTGAAGTCATAGTTGAAATCGGCCATCAGAGCAAGGCTCCCACGGTAATCAGGGGACACGACGTACATGGTAGGTATCGCGGCTCCCGAGGGGGAACGATTTGTAAATGAGGACGCTCCCACGGGTCGCTTATGTAAAGTATTTATTTCTCAAGTCATTATGCCGGCAAGCACTGCCTGAACTCATCTATCGGTGAAAAAAAATTCTCTGTGACCCATGAAAAACACAGAATAAAATGCAGTCTCCTCTCGAAGCCAGACTTCTTAGTCGAGGAACGTCGGCGTCGCCACCTCTGATTTTCGTGAATGCTCGTTACCGATCGTTCTCGTGTCCGTATCGAGCGGGGAAAATAAATGTTATCCTTGTACTCGTCTCCGGATCTCAGGAGACCTTGGCCTTTCACGTTCAATGACGAATTTCTGACTTCCCCTAGCTTCAACCGTGTCTCGGACCGAATCAGCGACAAAATCAACCAGTTCAGGTCGTTCTGGGCCTCCGACGATATAAACTTTCATATTTCAGCACCGTAGATATGAGCATATAAAATCGCACCGCCCTATCAGATCACAAACATTACCAGCACTCGCTTACCCACTAACAATCACGCTTTCTTCCGCTCGCACAGATGTCGGCACAGGTAACGTGTGCCGAGGTGAAGGATCGTTTAGGGATCCGGAGGAATGCGGCAAGTTCGTCCGCTGTGTCCGAGTGCCCTTCAAGTCGAACGTGTTCTCCGTGTACCGGTACTCGTGCCCCAGGGGCACAGTGTACAGTGGACATGGCCTAGGTTGTCGCAAACCTAACCAGCATGATCCTTGCTATTCTCATTTTGCTTCGCTTTATTCTGCTTCGAAACCACTAGTCGCCGCTTCCGCGTACAACCGAGATAGCTCTACAAGCTCCGACTCGCAGGAAGAATTACCGTGCAAATCTCAAGGATATAATCCACACCCGACGAATTGCAATGGGTGAGAAGTAGTTTCATCTCTATCACTCGAAGCTGAGGACTTTCGAAATTTCTGTCGAGCGCCTTCAGTCTCCCGTCCGACTCCCCGCATGGGATGAGGGCCGACGACGGCTCTGCCGCAGAACTTTTGAGACCTCTGGCATGAATGAATCTGTCGAAATCATGTCCTTGAAAGTCGTCGCGAGGAGCAGCTCTCTCATGTAAGTGTTTTCCTTTATAGCTATTACCACTGTCGCGACGTTGGCGGTTCGGGTCAAGCCTTCAAGGTGACTCATTTCTCCTGCCGACGAGGATTGGTGTTCGATGCCTCTACAGAGACCTGCAATATTCCCGAGCGTTCTCGATCGATCTGCTTGTCGCGTAACCCCAACTGGGGTTCATCGTCTTCAGCGTCGGCGGGTTCGCACACCATCTCGAGCAGCTCCTCGAGCTCTTCCTCGAGTTCGTCTTCCTCCTCTATCCAGCAGCAGCTGATTCAAGAGCAGCGAGAGCAGCAAATCAGAGAGAAGAAAATCAAAGAGCAGCTGATCCAAGAACAACAACACCGAGAACAGCAACAACGGGAGCAGCAGATCCGCGAGCAAGAGCAGCGAGAACAAAAAATCCACGAGCAGCATCGCTTAGAGCAAGAGATCCGCGAGCAGAAACAACGCGAACAGCAAGAGCGCGAAAAGCGCATCCATGAACAACACCAGCGTGAACAAGAGATCCGAGAGCAGCAACAGCGCGAGCAACAGATTCGAGAACAGCACGAGCGCCAACAACGGATCCGTGAACAGCACCAACGCGAGCAAGAGCTCCGCGAGCAGCAAATCCGTGAGCAGCAACAGAAGGAAGAGCAATTACGGGAGCAGCAGCGCAGAGAGGAAGAGCTTCATAGACAGAAAATGCGAGAACAGCAGATCCGCGAACAAGAACTCGAAGAGCAACGCATTCGAGAGAAGCATCAAAGAGAACAAGAGCAAAAAGAGATTCTCGAACAACAGATCAGGGAACAGCAAATTCGGGAGCAGCAGGAGAAAGAGCGTAAAGAACGCGAGGAGCAGCGGAGGCAGCATGAAATTCATGAGCAACATCAAAGGGAACAGAGAATCCGCGAGCAGCAGCAGAAAGAACAAGAGCTTCGCGAGCAGAAGGAGAAAGAGCAGAGATTGAAAGAACAACAGCTTCAAATTCAACAACAAATATCAACTCAACAACAAATACAATCTCAGAATGAGACTGAAATCCAATCACAGGACAAGACTCAAATCACACATCAGGTCGAGGTACAGCAGCAGACGCACATTCCACCACCGGTGGTCATCAAAAGGCCCGATTCTAGAGGAAGCTTCAATTGTCCGCATGATGGACTTTATGGACATCCGACCGATTGCTCTAAATTCTATCGTTGTCTCCGAGACCACTCCGGGCTCACCGCATTCGTTTTCGACTGTCCCGGAAATAGGGTCTGGGATGAATCGCGACTCATGTGCGATGTCGCCTCAAATGTTTCTATACCGTGTGGCACGTTGGTTCGTCCCACTGGACTGGAGAAGAAACCTACCCCACAGCCTTCGGGACCACAGCCTTCGTCGAAGCCGTCCACCCCGCAACATCCCCCAACCCTGTCTGACGATCCTGAAATACCAGAGCATCCACATCATGATGGAAACTGCGAGCAGGGCGTTTCGGGCGGAAACGATTCAACTGCTATCCCCTTGACCTGCACCAAGGAGGGTCTGTTTCGGAATCCGAACAACTGTCATCGATTTTTCCGTTGCATTCTGTCCACGGACACGCAAACTTTCCAGGTCACTCAATTGAATTGTCCCGAAAAATTGGTTTTCGATGAGCGTATCAGCGCCTGCAACTGGGCAGACCGGGCTCCACCCTGTGGAAAACCGGGGAATCAAAGCAATCAATTGAAACCGAGCGGGAACGAAAAAGATCACTCTGGACAACAGCAAAACAATATTCAGCAGCAAGACTCGAATCTCGGCCGGAATAACACTCTTGAGATCGGTCAGCAGAGACCGAAGGATCAAAACCAGCAACAGCAGGGGTTGAACCAAGAAGATCGAAACATAGCGGAGAACAAAGACAAGATTGGCTCTGGCACTCAAGTGCAAGTTCAAGAGCAGATCCACGTAGGCTCAGGAAACCAGGGACAGAACCAACAGGGTGTCCACCAGCAAGTCGTGGTCAATCAGCAGGTGACTGAGAATCAAGGCTCAAAAGATTCCCAGGGTCAGGGACAGAACCAAGAGACTTCGGTCGACGTGCATCAGCAGAATAATGGAACCCAACAACAAGACCATGATCGACAAAAAAATCAGATCGAGCAGCAAATTCAAACTCAGCAACAAATTCAAGACCAGCAGCAGATTCAAACCCAGCAGCAGATTCAGACCCAGCAACAAATCCAAACTCAGCAGCAGATTCAGACCCAGCAACAAATCCAAACTCAGCAAGGAAGTCAGATACAGCAACAAAATCAGACACAGCAAGGAAACCAAATTCAGCAACAAAATCAGACACAGCAAGGAAACCAAATTCAGCAACAAGATCAGGTCCAACAACAAAACAAAGAACAATCGAAGCAAGGTCAAGTGTCCTCCCAACAGACTGTGCAATCGAATAACTCACAGACGAGCTCTGGATCTTCGACCGAACAATCCACAGAGACATCATCGAGCGGCAGCGGTTCGAAAGAGCAGCAAATCAAAACCCCGACGAGCTTGGTCATCTCTTCTCAGAACTCCAGCAGCTCCTCGTCCTCATCTTCATCTTCCTCTTCGTCGTCCTCATCTTCATCTTCGTCCTCGTCCTCGACATCCATCACGATATCGACGGGTCCGAGACGAGCACCACCAGCAGCAGGTAAGACAATTCACTTTGCCTCGACCGGGAGGATTTTCGGAGCACACGCAACGACAAGGTTACACGACACCGGGAGCACACATTTCTATGGGGGAAAATTCGTTGCTAAGGGTAAACATTGCTTGCATCCAGCGAACCTTCCTATCGGAATAGGTCGTGCCGCCTGTTCGGGAGAAGCTCTCAAGCATTCGGCTCCCGATCTGACCGAGAAGGCATCCTCCTAGATAGGATGGTTCCACACACCTCCAAATCAGACGGATTCTCCACGTTGATCACGATAAATTTTTTCGGAAATAAAAATCAATCTGGTAAATGGTGAGCGGGATTTTTTGCAGATGCCGAACAGAACGAGCTGCTGAGCTATGGCCAATCGGAGTCAGAGGATTTCGTGTGCTCGAAGCCCGGATCCTTCGCTCATCCGAAAAATTGTAGTCAGTTCGTTCGGTGCTTCGCTCGCGGTGACGGGAGTTTCAAGAAAGCGATACTAAACTGTACTACGGGAACGATCTTTGATGCCAAAGTCTCATACTGTGTGAAAGACCAGGGTCAATGCGAAATCACAAAGTCCTCATCGCGCTCTACGCCCACTGCTCGTCCGCCTGTCGTACTGCCGTGGCCAAGCTCGCGGCCGGGTTCTCCAGATCCTGCGGAAGCGCTTGCGGAGCCAGCAGAAGCTCCTCCTAAAATCTCGGGATCCGTGAATCTGACTCGAACAGCGGCATCGGAAGAGAATAGCATGACCTTCTTGATGGGAGACAGCGTTACCCCGGCGGCTCGGGAAGCCTCGACCGCCGAAGACGAGAAATCAGTTTCAACGGAGTCCGGTCTCGAGGAAGTTGCAGCGACCTCGACCATCTCGCCAACAGAGGCGGTCCTCGAAGAAGCCTCGACGACCTCAGCATTCTCGCCCACAGATGCCCCGCAATCTGTGACAGAGCCCGAATCAGCAACGGTTGTAGATGGCCAAACTATCTCACCGGTAACCCTGCCATCGGAAATGAATCAATCACCGGACTATAATTCAACAGACATTCAAGCCATCGACACCACGGAATTCTTCACGGAAATTCAGGAGCCCACAGTGACGGGGGTACCGGAACAAACAACTGAATCTCTTAAATCTAGTTTTAACACTAATCAAACCACCTTGCCAGGTATGCTTATGAAAGATTCTCGGAATCGGAGACTCTTCCATAAAATCGCACCGTAGCACTCTAATGCGGATGAAAACGCCGATCATTGCGGAAGCAGAAACGTTCTCATACGGAAGTATTTTTCTGTAATCTAGAGCCTGGAGCTGGCGGTTTTGTGGACGGGGGAATAGCCCCTCCGCCTCACGCCGACACGCCTTGGAATTCGCCATCCTCCCCGCCTCTGTCTCCGAATGAGTTGCCGTCAAACCGCCCTGGTTCATATCCCGGGGAGACCGGAGTCGAAATCGTTCCGCCGTCCGCCAGGCCCTGTACTGGGTGAGTATGCGCCGAGACGATCAGGAGCTAAGCCGGTTCGCCTGGATAGAAGACGATCGGGTTATTCGATTGTCTTCGATCCGTATAATTCACCAGCATAGTCATCAGTATGATCATCGTGGGAAGCTTTGCGAAACCCGTGATATTGGCTCTGATGGGTGACTCTCTCCGGTTTCAGCGACTGCAATCTCCAGTGCTCAGGGCCCGGTTTCTTCCGACATCCGCAGGATTGCTCCCGTTTCATCCGTTGTGTTGATTTCGAAGAAAATCCGGGGAAATTCCAGGTATCTCAATCTGCAATACTCCTCGTTTCGAAGCTCAGGGAATCCGCGGAGCCATGTGAATACCTCTCTCACGCCTCGTGCTCACCTTTTAGGTTTACGAGTTCGATTGCCCCGCTGGACTAGTGTTCGACGAATTAGCTTCTACCTGCAATTGGCCCGAGCAGACAGCGCCATGTGCAACAGGTTCGTAGGAGGAGAAAACGTGATCAGCTCTGAGTGAATCTATCTACTAAATTCGAAGGTTCGAATTCATGCCTACACAGAATTATTCACCTTCGGATTCCCCTCTGAACAGGCGGCCCGAAACCACTGCCGGCCCCCAGCAGTGGATCGGATTCTGAGGGCTCGGATTATGACGGAGGAAACGATCACGGAGGTCAGGGACGCTTCGGAAAATCTCAGGGCTCCGGCGGTGGCTTCTTCCCCGGAACCGGACACCAACCAGGTCGTGATCATGGAAGTTTCCCCGGACAACGGGATTCACAATCACAGTCTGGCGGAGCAGGGCCTCTGTCTGGAGGTGAGACCGTGATCCCTTCGGGAGCGAGCGACATTTGAACGATATATTTCCGCTTCTGTATCTAATAAGCCCACTCCTTCGTGCCGCAGGTGAATCTGGAGGTCAATGCAATCCTTGCACTTCAGCCGGATTCTTCCGACATCCGAGCAGCTGTGAGAAATTCATCCGTTGTGTCGATTTCTTCAATAACGGGCAATACACTGTTTTCAACTTCGACTGTCCGGCTGGATTAGTTTTCGACGAGCGTTACAACGTCTGTAATTGGCCGCATGAGGCGCCCCCTTGCGAGAGCATGGCTTCCGGAAACGATTGCTCCCCTCGACCGGCCCAGAGGCAAGGGATCGCCGGACCCGGACAGGGACAGCAGGGTCCCCAGCAGCCGCAGCAAGGGTCCTGGCAACCCCAAGGTCCTTCTCCCGGCGCTCAGTCCCAACAACCGAACGGGTGGCAGCCATCCGGGCCACAAGAGCAGCCTCAACAAGGGGGTTGGCAGCCCCAGCAACCGGGTAGACCTCAGAGGGGCGGTCGACAGCCGCACGGACCTTCTGATCTTCAGGAACCTACCGGACCGGAAGGACCCTCTCAACCGCACCGAGGCGGTTTGCAGCCTCAGGGCCCTCCGCCTGGCCAACGACAGCCGGCGGATCCGCAGACGAACAGCTGGCAACCCCAAGAACCTCCCAAGCCGGAGCCCCAGCAAGGGGGAGGACAGCCCCAGCAAGGGGGCTGGCAGCCATCTCAACCCCAGAGAGGTGGGCGGCAGCCCCAGCAACCATCCCAGCCCGAACAAGGTGGATGGCAGCCGCAGCAACCGTGCACCTCAAAATGGAGGATGGCAACCCCAACAACCTTCGAGACCTCAAAATGGAGGGTGGCTACCCCAACAACCTTCGGGACCTCAAAATGGAGGGTGGCAACCCCAACAACCTTCGGGACCTCAAAATGGAGGGTGGCAACCCCAACAACCCTCGCAACAGCAACAACAACAAGGCGGAGGATGGCAGCCACAGCAACCTTCGGGACCCCAGGACGGAGGATGGCAACCCCAGCAGAGACCCTCCCCGCAAAGTCAAACGGCGGTCGGACCGCCAGCCACGAGGAATTCTGGCGGATGCAACGTTCAGTGCTCTTCGACAGGTTTCTTCCGTAATCCGTCGAATTGCCACAAGTTCTACCGATGCGTGGACTTCTACCAGAACGGTCAGTACACCGTGTTCCACTTTGACTGTCCAGGAGGACTCGTGTTCGACGAGCGAATTTCCGTTTGTAACTGGCCTCAGAACTCTCCGCCCTGTGACAACGCGGGAGGAGGCGGTGGCAGCTGCGGCTCGGCGTCCGCGCCGCCCATCGAAGATTCGAGCCAGGGATCGCCCGACGGTCAACAAACACCTCCTGGACCAGCCCGGGACAATCAAGGCTCTCAGCAGCCCTCAGGACCGCAAGGTCCCGCCGGACCGCCCGCTCAGAGCTCACAGCAAGCCGCCCCGCCGTCACAAGCGAATTGTCCGTCCGCTGGATTCTTCCGAAACCCACAGAACTGCAACAAATTCTACCGATGCGTCGATTTCTGGGGAAACGGAGACTATACCGTTTTCCACTTCGACTGTCCCGGCGGTCTAGTGTTCGACGAACGAATCTCCGTCTGCAATTGGCCGGATCAAGCTCCTCCTTGCGATTCTGGTCCATCGGCTCGACGACCGCCGCTCCCGCCGCCTGAGGGTCCAGCCACGACTGAAGCTCCTGAACAAGCGCCAACGGGTGAAACCGACGCCTCGACCGAGTCCAGCACCGAGATGTCGACCGAAATGTCGACGGAGTCTTCGACCGAGATGATGTCGACGACCGAATCGGACACCTCGACGACGAGACAGGGCAAGAAACTCGATTCAAGGAAGAAGAAACAAAAGCGAATAAAATGTCCAGGAAACGCGAATTACGAAGTTCCCGGAGACTGCACGAAGTTCTACCGCTGCGGGAAAGTCGGGCCGGGCAAGCGTGCTCAGCTGTTCCAATGCATGGACGGCTATGTGTTCGATGAGAAGATCCAGTTCTGTAAGAAGAAGCCCGCCGACTTCAAGTGTATGAGCAAAATGACCGATGAGATGAAAGAAATGATGGAGGAAATGGGAAGAGCGGAAATGGCTCCACCGGAGATGTATTTGGATGAGAATTGATAATGACCCGTTTGCCGAAACGTCGAGCGCGTATCCTAACCCCTAGGAGACAATGACCCATGAACAAGCTGTACAATGACTCTGAGCCCAGTTCGGCTAAAAATCAGCGCACACTAGCCAACTGTCGTGTCGGGCGAGAGGGCAAGATTCCTCGTTCTCCAAGTCTCGTCGAATACTTGAACGACTGGTGTTTGCGGAGCGCCTGGCGGACCCTTTTGTCCAACCCCCGGCACGGGCTTGTTTGTAAAACGATGTTCTTGACTGTGTGAGCTGAAGGTTCGAATGAGTGCATGCATTGATATATTGCTCAAGAATTCTATACATAGACTCGATTAGGTAATTCAATGTGAGTAAGATTCAAGCGTCGTCGCAGAGAATCTCGATAGGTAAACAACCGAGCTCGATCTTCGAATGCCTCGGCCCTTCCAGTGCAAGCTAACGGTTTTCGGGCTCCATGCACAGATCATCCGCGATCCTAACCACAAAGGAATCTGTGACCGACAACCGAAAATTCTCATCCAGCACCGAAGTGTATATCGACAAACCAACCACAGAATCCATAATTTCTACCCACACCGCAATGTTGCTATAATTCGTGGTCTGATTATCGCTCGCAAAGCATCCAAAAAATGAACGCTAGGAACAAGTACGTAGGCGATCTGTACATAAAAATAAATCGATTCCGCTATTTTTTAAACCACAGAAGCAGACTCGAGGGAACTTTATTACAATGATATCGACACAGTTATCGCGAGTACTTTTCTGCGAGATCTCGACTTCCTCGCCTCCTTGATATCGAAGCTGACAACTGTCACTTGTGGACCGCCGACTTTCACGGGGAGATTCGATCTTGTCACTCCACTCCACACCGCTTTGCAATTTCCCTGGCGAGCTGAAGGAGTCAAGGAGCCGCGCGCGGGGGATCACCGCGCCCGATTCAGGCTGCCGGCCAGGTATGCGAGCTCGCTTGAGTTCGTTGGATCTCTACACTACATGCTCCTAAGGCGGTACTTGAGACTTCGAGCATGGAATAATCCGGGCCGACGTCGATAGGACGAAATTGGTACTAGAATTAGCTTGACGTAGATTTTTGGTCTCAGAGCCCTATCCCCGACGCCGACTCGCTCAGATCGTCGTTTGTCAGAGAGTTCTGAGATTTGTTGCGTTTGCGAAAGCGAAGCAAGATACACCGACCAGGAGAGAATGAGGAGTGCCGATGAATGAGGATAATGACTCTGCACCTGCAGAGCGAGTACCTCCGACGTTCCGAAGTCTGCGTCGACGCCGTCGCATCGCTGAAGTCCCTGCCTACCGCACACGAGAATTCTCGATCCTGATTCCTGATTTCGAATCGCATGGGGAACCTCAGAGAAATCAGAGTTCCCGTGGAAGAAATGTTCGAACATAACCTCCCGGAATGATTCGGAAGAGGCCGAAGCTCTTGGGGCTGATCGAGCTCATTTTCTCATTCTGACGCCAGAATAACGAGTCCGAACAATGAAAAAGTGAGACTTCCTCTTTCCTCCTCTCCCTCGTCGATTGAACTCTCTTCACTGGTGTATCGAGGCTCCATGGATCCGGTAACTTAATTGTTCATCCTTCCAGAGTGTGAATTGAGCTATATCTTCGACAAATCCTCCTCGATGACTTTCTCGATGAATGCCGTCAGTCCGTCGTTCAATTTAGCCGGCTTTATCTCTGGAGCCTCTGCTCTGGGCTCGAAACGCAGCGGGATCGCCGGATGCTCCGTCAAGGCTGAACCGCAGAACCGATCAATCACAATGTCTTTCCGCTCTGGGCTGAGTTTGAAATGTTGCATTATTTTCGCGGCATAAACCTGAACACTCAAGGTCGCCATGTCGACGCCGGAACACATGCGGCGACCGCGTGAAAAGACGTTGAAGTGTTTACTGCTCTCAAAGAGACCGTCATTTATGAAACGCTCGGGGACGAAATCGTCGGGATTCGGGAAGTTGTTGACGTCCACGGTCTCCGAGTGCAAGAACATGGCGACTCTTATGTTGCTCTGTACGGTGTATCCGGCGATTTCAGCGGGACCAGTCGTCCACCTTACCATGAGTGGGATTGGAGGACTCATTCGCAAGGCTTCGTGGATGGTCGCTTTCAGGTAGTGGAGTTGGGACAAGTGCTCGTAGTTGAGGGGCGACTTGCCCACAACCCGATCGACTTCTTCGTGAATTTTCCGCTGTACCTCGTCGTTCAGAGAGACATACGAGAGGAAAGCCGACGTCGCGTGTTGAGTCGTGTGGGTCGTGGCCAACATGTTGAACAACATGGTCTCTTTGAGTACCAGCCTAGCACTCTCCGGATCTCGCATGCAGAGTACGGCTTCGACGAAATCATTCGGCTCATCGGCTGCTATCTTCAATTTCCTCTCGAGGATCCTAGTAACGAGGATATCGTATGCTCTCGCCATAACCGTCGGTCGCATCATCTTGGGGAAGATCGTCTCGAGACTCGTGAGTATCTGCAGAGGAATGCTGCAGACGGCACAGATGAGCCCCAGACTTCTCGACAAGGCCGTTATGCTCTTCACGAAAGAATGGAGATTGTTTACGTCGAATGTGTCTCCCAAGTTCACGTTGCTCGTCTCTTGGATCTTGGCGAAAGCTATATCCTCGTCGTAGTCCCACAGGCGGCCTTTTTGTCGCTCGATCGTCTTCAGGAAATGGTCAACGACCGCGGCCATCTTCTCGAACTTCCGGTGCTTCGGCAAGATGTTCAACGCCAACAGATTCGTCTTCCGGATGGACTTCCACTCGCAGCCGTTGTGATCGAATGCGAAGTAGTAACGTTTCCCAGTCATCAGATATCCTACGGTTGTCTCGAAGCCTTGAGCTGCTCGACTGAGACAATCCTCGCTGTCTTGGACATCTCGCACGCCCGCATTCTTAACGAACACGACCGGATATAGGAAACGGCATATTATAGCGTCGGGGAAATTCCGCAAGTAATAATTGTGGATTGGATTGAACAATTGTTTCGGCAGCAGGTAGAAAGGTATCACGCCGAGGAACGGGAAAAAGTACCACGTCGGAGGTCCGTCGGGCCTCGTGTACCTGATTTTGAAGTAAAGGTAGTCCACCACCCACAGCCAGATGAACATCAGCAAGAAACCCATTCTCTCAGATAATCTGGAAGGAACAAATAGTCCGGGCTCATGGGTTTGATCAAGCTTCATTTCCGAGAATTTCTTGAAGCGAAATGAGAGCATCGCTTGCAAGAGTTGGATGAGCCTTCAAGAGTGAATTTTTTTTATGACGCCTCTCGAAAAAAATTATATCGGAGACGGTACTCGAGAACAGAATACCGGAGCCCATTTACGGATATCAGACTCCAACCATAAGCTCTGGCATGATTCGAATCAAGATTTCACGTCTAAGGGGCTCTAATTTCGGGGCTGCGTTCCTCTGATCAAGACCGCGCGTCTGAGAGGCGACCTCCGACTCGAACAAGAGAACCCCCGCGGCTGTAGGGCTATCTGGTGAGGGATCTCTACGTCGGGCTGCCAGTTGGAAGGAGCATCGATTTGTGGCGGACTTCATGCTCAAGAGAGAAGATAAGCGGATTCGTGGTTGAGTAGGAAGTTTTCCAGACAACAAGCCTAATAGACATCCCGATACGTGCCAGCTTCGGGTCATTGCATTAACTCCATCCTCTGATTTATGGTACTCGTTATCGACTCCTATTCCGATTCGGAGGGAGTCGCACCGCGGAGCAATGGAGAAGTACGGAGTTAGGTCGGAAAGAAGTCGTTCGACTTCCCATGGCCATCTCTCATGACGCCATCCTCTCCTGGAGGATCGGCTGTATACGAGATGATTGAGCGATTCCCGTCCTCCGGGGAAGGGGTTCGAATCCGTCGCGTTTCGGCTGCGATAGCTCATCTTGTCCGAGCTTGGCGTCAGAGGTAGGAAACTCTAGCGACGCGAATTTCAACGGGACCTTTCCAAATATTTCGCTCTGCCAAATGGAAATATGTCGGCCTCAGACGAAAGCATGTATCCGCAAACAGCGTCGCCATCTGCCGCTTCCGTCCGCCGAACAATATGCGGCGAATCATACTTGACGGAGCAGGGTATGCTCGTCACCAAACTCCGACTAAACCATCAAAACTTGCACACAAAGGACCTGAGGCGCTGCTACATTGATGTCGAGGCTCGATCACAGTTGGGACTCGATCGGAAAATATAGGACGAAATCGATAGGGCGAACATTCATCCGCTGCGATCGATCAAAAATTGAAGCTGATCAATAACGACTTCATTCTATGACCTGAGCGAGAGTGTATGGGTCAGAAAAGACTGAAACACAGGGAAACCGGCATGAATTCGAGCTGTGTGGCTCAAAGTTGCGAGCTATTCTCGATCATTCCAATCCAGGATATCAGCTACCTCAAGACTCAGGATATATAGGATTTCATGGGATAGCTAGTTTTCCAAGACGCTCGTACTCCAGCGCTCCACCGGGTAAACCTAGGCTAAATTCCGTGGCAGCGGACCGCGCGCCTCTGAAAGTCCGGCTATTGCACCTGCTTGCTTGTCTGATGACTGAGTGAGATCGATGATTTGAGGCATTCACGAATCATATTGCCTCTCGGGAGAGTCTTCATCCCCTCCGGACTACGACACCGTTTTGATGGTTCTCTCCAGCTCAGACCCATGGTCAGGACTCATTGGATACCCGGCCAGAGGATTTTCATCTGCATTTCACAAATCGTTCTACGTCGCACCGTCGGTGTCGCGGGGGAAGCGGAGGGGAAATGGAGAATGAGGACTCACCGGAGCTAATGCAGCGGTATCAGCAGTACTCGCGTCCGGGATCTGACTGATTGTGAGGTGATTCATACGCGGTATCTGGCAAGGACAGGATCTGAATTTCGATCCTGTGGAGCGAAGGGAGAGCTCGAGTGGAATCGCGCTTCTGGCGGAACGCACGATTGGCCGGACCGAGGTCACAACTTACTCGGGGCGGTCCGAGAGGAAGGAGGGGAAAAGCCCGCCGAAATTAGCGAGAATCGAGGGGCGGAGCACGCCGAACAAGTTTTAAGTATCCGAGGAAGTCCCCCGTGACATTTTTCGGATCCTTGATAGAGGCGTCAGATCTATTGTGGCGATACTTCCGTTTTCGTAGCTGTCAAACATTCATCTCCGAGGCTTGATGAGGCATCGGCTGAGAGGCTGAGGCTTCGCCGTGAAAAACGCCGGAAATCGCAAGTTGCCGCGGCGGAATGGGAGGAATTCGAAAGGGAGAAACTGCCCTTTGTAGCCTTACTTCCGGAAGTCTCCCCGGGATCGAGTCTGCCGGACCTCCCTCTCCTAGCATGAGCGACACTACTCGCTCGATTTGAGCTGAATCCATTCTATCTGATCTTTTTCTTTCCGGATAGGCCGGCCAAGCGAATACGGAAATTCCTAGATCATGCCATCTCGAGAGCGATTGTCTCCGCGAGCTCTATCGGTCGCAGTATAGAGATTCCCCCAGAGTGAAAATCCCGTCCCGATTTCCTTGCTGTCCCTGCAGGCAGCCCTGCGTCAGAGAGGCTATACGACTCAGGAGGGTTTCACTTGATACGACAGGCAGCTCCACATACATTCCTTCGAGCCGTGGGGGGGAAGAAAGGTGAAGAGTCTCCACGCATTCGGAGATCCGAGATCTCGAGTCGTTCCAGAGGAAGGCAGCGTCACGCCTCACGCCCATGAAAGATCCGTACCAAGGTGCCAGTCAGTGATCCGTGAGCCTAGGATGCGTAAGGGCATCGATTCCTCGACGTGAGGCAGAAGCTACAATAGTCTCACCAAGGGGGGGAGGGAGGGTTGGAGGTCGAAGCGGGCCCCTTCAGCCTGGGCCTGGAGTTCCCGAAGAAGCCGTCGAATCAGAAAGCCGTCGGATTTTCCGTGTGCGCGACTGATATTCCACTTCATGTGGAGTGGACCCTCCACTCACCTGGAAGGATTCAGGACAATATGTGGTGCGTTGCACAATAGGCCTGAATTACTCGAACTCCTCTCCTTAAAATCTTGGCAAAAGCCCGTCATGGTATTTACCTTGGTAGGGTTTGACCTAATCAGCTCTCATTACCATTCGATTCGGGCAGCAAGGGTCGTCAAGCTGTTGCCATTTTCGACGTATTTTCATCTCTCATACAGGTACTCCGTAGAGCGATTTGCTCGACGACGCTGATAGTCCAGGGAACGGGGGGAGGAGTCAGTGACCATCCGCGAACGTTGCGGAGCTGCGGAGCAAGTAGAATTTCGTAGGTCATGGCTACCGTCACAACAGATGGAACGATGCCTTTGATCCTTGATGAGAGCATCCCAATGAGAAACCTAGTTGAAATATAGGCTGAGCAGCCCTGTTGAAAACAAATTCGAGAGAATCAGGCGTCATTCGTTCCGGTGTCCTGACGATGCAAGCCCATGATCCAGAACGATGTGCCAAGCGAAGGAGGCATTCGACATGTCTCATGATCCGCAGCTTCGTGGCGGGGTTCGGACGTGTGGTTTACAGCGAGGGGAGAAGATTCATCGAGTCGATTCGATTCCATAATTTAGATGTGGCTTTCAGACTCGGTTGCTCCATGGAATGCATCTTTTCTGGCAAGACGGAACCATGGTCGAACCGGGGCTGCTGATTTCAGGGACGCTCGGAGATGCCAGCTCGCGGGAGAGACTAGCGGGCTCTGTGCAAGAATGATCAATGGAATGGATCAATGATTAAAGAACAGTGAGATGGAGTACATACCGTGCCAATCCCTGTATCCTGTCAGAAGATTCATCCTCTCGGAGAAAAATTCTTGAGAAAATTAAAAAAATCAGTCGCATTGGAAAGAGAAGAAAAATTGCCGAAGAAGCGCTCCAGTGCCATCCTCCCGCCTCATACATTGCGGTTCGAGTTGCGGATCCTTCCCCTAGAGGGAAACATTCTTAACTTTTATGAAACATCCCGACTAAACGTAGACTGCGAGGCCCTCCCAGCTCAGAACAAATCCCTCAACCGTGTCCTCCCCTGTCTGGCACCCGACGACTCGCCTCGAGCGAATCATAGAGTCTCGGTCGAATTTTCTGAATGTCAGGCATCAGGTCTATACCCGCGCATTCGTATACCTGGCTGATTGTCAGAGTCGCAACGCTGCCCTTCAGGCTTCGACCGTTCCGGAACTGGTCCGGGCCGCAAAGAACTAGCATTCGTACTGTATGTCATTCAAAAGGCGCGAATGGAATGAATTACAAACTTAAAGATTTATTCTCCCTAAACTGTACATTGGTCTCGGCTCTCCAGAATGTGATAGAGAGCCTATAAATTCTGGGAAAGATTGGGGAATTTCAATAAAATACATTCGCTCGCGTCAGAGTCAGCTCTACAGATTGCAGCGGAATCAGATCTATCACGTCTAGATTCGATGTTAGATACATAGTGTCAACGATGAGTTCGACAACTAGATGGCACTCTCGGCTTATTCAGCCCGTGTACGGCCACGGCCCAGGTAACAGTGTAGATGGCAACTCAACAGGATTAGTCGTAGAAATCGCTTCCCGGCTCGGCGACGAGAGGTAAGTGGCCCGATATTAGGATTTGACGACGATAGAACTTCGCTGTGAAGAACAAAGATAATCCGGATTTCAAACTCAGAGCAGCAGAAACGCAGGACAAAACGAAGTTGTTCTCTCCGAAATCGATCTCTGCAAAGAATTTCCCTTCGCTTAATCACTACTCCCCTCCGAGTCCATTGACATCCCAGCCGGATCGAATATCCAAGCGCGTCGTATCTTTGCACAATATGTTTAAGAGAATGAGCTCCCGACTCACCTTGCTTGGCTTTGTACGCCAAGGCACCGTAAACGGCACCGCCTACCGTAGATAGAGCGCAGACTACTATGGCAAGGTATTTGATCTGATTCAGAGATTGCCGGTCATGCCAAGTGGCGAGGCGGCCGAGGAGATTCAAGATGTGTAAGTGAAATGCGGCCGAGCTGAAGATCCCTGTCGAAGAGACGTATCGGTGAACTAGTTCCTATTTGTACGCCCGTCCGGGTAATCTCCACAGAATACATGACGACCTTCCTCAATTATTAACGCTATCACAAACCTGCAGACAGGGACCACATGGCGGCATGATGATTTTTGAAACGGAGAGCGAATATGAGAAAAGTCGAGAATCCACCAGCAGCCACGGAGGCGGTCAGAATGAAGAGAAGCCAGTACGAATAACTCATCTCCGCCGTCCACCTTTCATTGCGTCTCTCTGAATCTCTGGAACGGGAGGGTCGATTCAGTTAGATGGAGAGCTTCGACTTCGGGGTTTAGACTGCCTGGGACCTCATCTGTTTTGAGTACACGAACAATCGTCAAGTCGAGCTATATCGGACACATCCGTGGCAAAAATCGTCGCTAGCTGATCAGCTGGAGCTGCTGATTCGGACGATTTGCATCCGTCTACCTCCTTATGAACGGAGACTCGTATCTGGAGGTCGAAAATAGCCGAAACCAGGACGACCAGAATCTAGCGATCACATCTATCCTGGGCGTTCCCTAGGGACAAATCCAGTGAGACTCGATAAGGATTCCCGAGACACAAAAGGCGTTCCAAAATTAGAAACTCGAGACGACATGGTGTTTTCGAGAGATCGCGGAGGCTGTATCAAGGGACGCGGACATTCGGCGCAGATTGAGGAATTCTCAGAAGAACGCAATGAAGTCCGAGGAGCCCGACGTTCGGGATGGCTCCATTCATTCCAGCAGCCTGACTCATATTTTCGGGAAAACCTCCCTATTCGACTCTCCGACCTGTCTCTCACGGAGTTGGCTGAGCGATGGAACCCGACATTGAAATGATTCAGGGGTTGGGAAAACTTATCTGAGCCATACATCGGCTGAATTTCGCGGGCCGCGAAGCAGCTTCCGGAGGGAGCGCTCGGGCCACGGAGCAAGTAGAAAAATGGATCGCTCCCGAGCGCTGCCAGATGTCTTTTAACGGCGTCAATGTCGGATTTAAGTTCAGAAGATGAAGTCGACATGCCCCCCTTCACGGGGAAATACCACTCCTGGCGCAACCATTCATCTAGACTCGCTTACGTCTGCGACGGAGACGCAAGCCGCGGAGGCTCGGAATCATGCATCAGCATGGAGAAAATCATGGAACCGCGAGAAATATATCGGAAGCTTGTCATGAGTGCAACAGCTGGTGGCGCTCAAGTTCACAGAGATGATTTCTGTCCAAGCGGCATGGATATCGAAAAGCTCGTCTTCCGCCGTTCAAACAATTCACTTTGCAGCCACCATCCGGTGTTAAAAATACACTCACCTCGGCATCGTCGCTGCGATCCACTTTTTTTCGAGAACTTAAAGTAGTTTATCAGTTTTTCTTGAAAGTCACAGTGGTTGAACGTGCGGAGTTGAGAAGGCTCTGCGGTCCATAGACGACAGGACGTGTGGGAGAGGGAGCAATGCTCTCAACCCTCTCGATGGATCACGTTCGATGCCGATGCCCGATTGAAAGTGTCCACTCGTCCTCACCCGCTCAGCAATACTTGTGAGTGTCAGGATCCCTCGGAGATCCCTCCGTACTTCGCCGTTTCATCTGGTCCCCCTTTCGAACCCGCGGAGATTCGATTTGGGTCTTTTAGGACCGGGAGTCAACCCGGTATCGCTGGATAATGGACCCAGCTGACTCGATGGAGGTATTCGGTCGCCGCCACTTGTTGATGGCGCACACGCGGGGGCGCGGGAGAGGTATGACAGAGACGAAGGATGACCATTATCGTCGGTAATACTGAGATATGCAAGAGGATATTCCCGATCGGTCTTGTTGTCTCAGTCTCCCTTCGGGAACGATGCCAGAAGTTCCAGAGTTCGCTCCTCTGGCCTGTTCTCAGCAGAGATCAACATCTTCATCATCATCTTTGTCCTGACTTGAATTCTCGGAGCGCGGGAAAAAACATTCTTCAACTCCGCTTTGCGACTCCGACAAGGATGACCGGAATCGCGGTGAATAATTCGTTTTCCAGCCACAGATGGCCTTAGGCGCACTGTGCACCGGCGCCAGCCTTCCTCATAGGAATAGGGAAGGCTAGCAGCTTTGCGAGTGCTCTAACTGCAAACCGCTTCATTCATATCCGGGAATCGGGGCTCCAGGGCTTCGTATTCATTGAGAGTCCGCCCGAAGTTGAGGTCAGGGTGAGTTCGGTTGACGCGGTCGGGGAAGCTCCAATTGCGACCGAACCCGGTTCGTGAGTACTTGGAAAATCCACGCCGTTGTTGTATCGACTCCGTGCTTGAAAGAACGGCATGAGATAACTCAGGGGTAATTTCGAACATATTGTGGAGTTGTGATGCTGTCTATTTCCTCTGAAACGAGCCAGAATGACCGGATGACTCTTATCTAGCAGAAGATCTTCATTATCTCAGGCTCGCCTTATCGTCGAGGGGAAGAGAGATGCGTTGGAAAAAATACACATTGACAATTCAGAGGATTCAGATGCCGCTTAGGATTATGGCTGAGATATCTGTATCCTCGCTTGCCGACATTGACGCTTCAGCCTCGCCCGGATCACGCTCAGCTTCTTCCAGGTGTTGCCCTGCGAGCTCCACTCAATCCGAGTCTGCGAGAAAACTCCTGGTGACTTTTCTGTCTTCATATACATGCACAGCACTCCCATCCGATCTCCCGGCTTTTTGAGATTTTCAACGATCATCATCCACGAGTTTACCGTGCCTCTCACCCGCCGGAGCCATCCCCAGACGATCTTCCATCGTGGAGACTTATAGCTCGGCTCCGGAAAGAAAGGATCGCTTCATATTTCCTGTCGGCAAGGGTGACCATTCCGATCGACTAGGGCGACAAGTACTGATTTCCTCGGCGAACTCAAAAGAAGAAAGGCCTCCGTGATCATGAAGCAGGTCCTACTTCGCTCATCTGATGCTGAACTAGAAGTTTACGTCGCGTGTGACCGATTGTCTTCTGCGTAGTTCGGTCTGGGGTAGAGGGGTACGCACTGGGCGCTCGAACGGCGAAGGACTAGAACGGAACTTTGCCAAAACGAACCTCACGTCCACCCAGCACCCAGATGAATGTACATCTGCGGAGTATGAAAGACGGTTTGACAGACGCTTCGAAACCTGCCTGCACACACACCTGTAATGAGCTATTGGGTACACTCTAGTTAAGGAAAACAAGCATGAAGCGTGGACTGTAGATATGTGTTGTATTCTCTCTGCTCTCTTGTTTTTATATCGCTATCCCCTCTCTCTCCTACCATGTCTATCAATGCACGTCATCCCTGCTACGCGACTCGTGCCGCTTATCGATGCTCTCTACTCCACTTCTCACATTCGGCTGTTCTGACAGAATGATGTCCCAGCATTCGCCTGGTTATGATCAAGAGGTTGTTGGAGGATTCGCTCCCACCTATCCTGTCGGAACATCTCCGTCACCTTATCATTGTTGTCCATAACGTTGCGGCTTATGTCTTTGCCGAGATGGATATCTTGTCGGAGCTGGCGAGGTTCGCGTGGCTTCTGTGCCCCTTTCTTCACGAGTAACCGCAGTCTCCGCGAACGCAGCCTGCTGGCTCGGTGCTGGGTCCTGGATTGCTGCTCCTATCGTTAACCCAGAGCTCGTTCCCGTCTTCCCCGAAATGTCAGGCTCCTCCATGAAAGCATCATCCAAGCTCGGTGTCTCACCCGTCATCGATACGTTCCACTTGTCCAACATCATTGACAGGTCGCGATCTGTTTCATCATCCTTGTTGGCTTCAGCGCCTCCATGCGGCGAGTCTTGCCTTGACTCAGTCGGGAGGCTGACTACTGAAGTACCGCTGCTTGAGCTGGTATTCTGCTCTCGCGCTGGACCCTCGAACATAGGTCGGCTCTCGACAGCTCCAGATACATGCTCCGCGGTCTCGTCTCCCGAGTCATCGTCCGAATTAACGATCTCATCCTGGTCTTCTTCTGCCACCTTGAACAACTTCATCTGGGAGCAGTGGGCCGTCGTAGTATGTGTCGTTTTTCCCAATCTAGTGATCTGGTAGGCGTCATTCGGCAGCACTCGCGTCACTATCATTGGTCCTCGAAATTTCGGCTGCAGCTTTGTCGAGTATCCCGTCGGCAACGGTAACCGTCGAACTACCACGATATCACCGATGGAGTATCGAATCGCATGCAACCTTCTTTTCCTGTCATAGTGTTTCGAGTATTCCTCTTGAGCCCTCGCCACTGCCATTCGAACTTCATCACATAAGGATTGAGGAGGGCGCCACCCAACCGAATCTTGTTGCTGATCGATGAACTGCGACATGTTATCCAGTCTCGGCAAGTAACCATGTAGGATCTCGAATGGAGGTTTCCCTGTAGACTTCGCCGGGGCTCGATTTATGTGAGCTGCCACCTGCATCAGTTTGCCCACCCAATCTCTCTTCTCTGGGTGCGTGCACACTGTTCGCAGAACCGATATCAACGTCTTATTCATACGCTCTGTCTGTCCGTTGCTTTGAGGATGTTGGGTCGATGTTAATACATGTCGAATACCCTTCGCCCTCATGAGCTCCTTGAACCGGTGCGCCGTGAAACAGGTTCCTCTGTCTGATATCAGAACATCGGGAATCCCGTATCTGAAGAAGGTTTTCTCCAGGAAACTCACCACGCCTTTCGCTCCTGTGGATCTCACTGCCTCCAAAACCACATATTTCGACAAGCTATCCACCAGAACGATTATATGTTCCTTCCCGCACGATTTAGGTAAGGGCCCCACCAGGTCCATCATAACCTTCTGAAACGGTCTTCGGGCCGGTGGAACCGGTCGACAGATGCCCTCCTTGCGCGGCGCGCTCTCCTTGTTGAAGAGACACTCCAAGCAGACTCTCAGATGTTGATGCATATACTTCCTCATAGCCGGAAACCAGTACCTTTCCTGAGCAAGCTCGAGGGTTTTCGCAAGCCCAAAATGACCCGCCTTGTCGTGCACGAGCACACACACGTATTTCCGCATAGACGACGGGACAACGAACAGCAGCTTCGACGTACCGTTGACGGAAGACTTCCTGTATAGAATCCCCTCCTTCAAGACGAACTGATCCAGTTCTCGCACCCCCTTCTCTTGCATGTCCTTCGCTCGGTTCCGTAACTTCTCGTCTTGTTGCTGGATCATGGCCATGGACTCTTCAAATGTTGACAACTGCCACACCTTGCGAATCTCATCATTGGATCCCTTTGGCGCACTCGAATTCGGCGCGGTCGCCTCCACGCCCTCAACTTCCTCTCCAACCTGATGATCACCTTCAAATGTAGCTTCTTCGACGGGGTGGCGACTAAACGCATCAACATGCGGCATGTCTGTTCCAGCACGATGGACTACCTCGAACTCGAATTCTGCCAGCCTGTTCAGCCACCGAGCGATTTGGTTCGACGTCGCGGCATTGCTTTTCAGAGCTTGGACCGCAACGCAGTCACTTATCACTTGGAACTTCTCTCCATACACATAGTGTCGGAACCTCTCGCAGGCCCACACCACTGCTAACTGCTCCAGTTTGGTGGAGTGATACCGCCTTTCAGAAGCTGACAACCGTCGACTAATCGCGTATATCATTCTCCACCGTTCGTCAATCTTCTGCATCAAGGCAGCGCCGAGTCCGACGCCCGATGCATCCGTGTGTAACTGAATTGGACATCCTCGCGTGAATTTTGATAGAATTGGTCTTTCGAGTAATCGCTCCTTGAGCTGCACGAATGCCCGCTCACACTCGCTCTTCCATTCGAAAGCCGCATCCTTCTTCAAAAGTGACGTCAGTGGATCGCAAATCGATGCAAAACCCTGAATGAATCGCCGGAAGAATCCCACTAACCCAAGGAAGCTTCTGACGTCGTGAACTCCCTCCGGCCGTGGATACTGCTCGATTGCCTTGAGATTCGCTTCACCGGGTTGGATTCCTGTCTCAGAGATGGTGAACCCGAGGAATTCAACAGTCGTCATGAAGAATTTGCATTTTGATAAACGCACCGTCAACCGCGCCTCCTTCAAGACAGTGAATATCCTGGCGATCTGCTCGATATGCTCATCGCATCTATCCGCCGCCGTTATCATGTCGTCTATGAAGGGTATCATCACGCCCGCACCGACAATCGATTGAATTCTTGTCATCATTTCTTGGAATACTGCCGGGGCATTCGCTAAGCCCATCATCATGACTTGGGGCTCGTAATGCCCGTCAGGGGTGATGAAGGCTGCCTTTCTGGCCGAGCCGGAGCCATCGGAATCTGGAAATAGCCCCAGGCAAGATCAAACGTCGAGTATATACGCCTGCCGCCAATGTTGTCGAGGATATCATCGATCAAGGGAATCGGAAAATTTCTGCGGACCGTTTGGCTATTCAAGCGCCGGTAATCAATGACCAACCGAAACGTTCCGTCCTTCTTCTTAACCAGCATCACCGGACTGGCGTACGGTGACTGCGATTTCCGAATGATCCCTGTCTTCAACATGTTCTGCACGATCTCCTTCAGCGCGTCTCGTTCAATGCCCGACAACCGGAATGGTCTGCACCAGATGGGTCCGCTCCCCGGCGTCTCTTCGATTGTACACTCCGCCAGATCCGTACGCCCCAATTCGTCCATGGAAGTTGATATCACCTCTGGGAATCGATTCAAGACCTCAAGAAGTTTATCACGTACGCGCTGTGGAATCGAATCGGCTATGGTGACGTCCTGCTCCGTGAGCGGTCTCTGGATTCCGATTTGCTGGATCCTCTTGCTATCGACCTCGGTCATCACCTGCTCCAGAGCAAAGATATCTGATCCATCAACGATGCTAGCTCGAGCCACAGTTGCTCCCTTGCCATACCTCTTGTCTTGACGCTTGCCATTCCTCATGGGGAGGAAAACTGTTCCTCCCTCTGCTTTGCATAAAATAGCCTCTTCGTTCGGCTCTCTCACGAGCAGGGAGTGTACTCCCTTCCTGTCGATTTGTGCTTCAATGAGGCTGATTGATTTTGCCGGCACCGTTACCTCCTCTTTCACAGTCAGAAACACCCTGTTCACATCCGCTTGATTCCTCTTTTCCACCCCCCACGAAGCCACGGCCTTTTCCAAATCATCAGGTCTCAAGATCCACGATGATTCGCCACATAACAATGTCAGCATACCTCGTTTGAGGAAATCTCTTCCAATGAGGATATCTTTTCCGCTAATCGCCCCTTCGGGAAGCACTGTCAACGTTACGTCTTCGAATTCGAGTCCGTCGGTGATCATTCTCACCAGAGTTTGGCCCCGCGGCACGCACGCTCCACCGGCGATTCCAGTGACTAACTTGATGGGACTTGGAGATAGTTCCAGCTCCAGTTCTCTTGCTACCCTCTCGTCGGTCACCGTCAGCTCTGCTCCGGTGTCCAGTCGCGCTGTCCATGGCTTCCCGTTGATAGAGACATCCTTAATTTCCGCTGTCGGGGACGTTCCAGTGTCGTCCTGCATTGCCTTCTCCGTATCCATCTGGAGGACAGTTCTCGCGGTGCATTTCGAGGCGAAGTGACCTTTCTGATTACATTTGAAACATATGAGATCTGCTCTGTCGCTGGACGCACCTGCTCTCGGGGTTCTCGCCTCCATGTTCACTGACTCTTCGCGTTTACTTGCGGTCGCTGCGGCTCCCCGGATCAAGCCTCGATTCTGTCCGTCAGCTTCGCTCGAATTTCCGGGCTCTCGCCTGCTCCCAACTTCCGGATGTTCTGAGACGAACCGCGTCCCGTTGTCTCGCCTTCCTCCGATAGAGGTGCTGCCCGTCTTGCAGAACCTCGCCTTATGTCCTTCTGAGTTGCACTTGAAACATACGAGGGTCCGCGTGTTCTTTTGGCCTGCATCACTTCGACCCGGATTTGTGTCCACTCTGGTCTCGTTTCGGAATCGATTGAATGTCATGACGTCATTAATATCACGAATCACTGCCGATACATCCGCATGATACCGTCCCCGTACTTCGTTGACCAAGAATGAGTACTCCGCTGTCAATCCTCGTAATACGTAGTCCTTAATCGCCTCCGGCTCCAACCTCAATTGCAACGCCAGATTCTCCACTCTGCGCGCGTAAACTTCGAGGGTTTCGGACCGTTGTTGCTTGCATCTAAATAACTGATCCATGAGCGCTGCTTGCGTTTGCTTCGGTACATAGGCTCCGCGAAACTTCTGCTCCCACTCTTCGAACGACTCAATCGCGGCTCCATGATGTTTATGCCATATTTTCGCCGACCCGGCCATTTTGTTCAGAATCGTGCTCCTGGTGAAATCCGTAGACCATTTGCCTACCTGCCTCGCTAGCTTTAGCTGTGTTAGCCACTCCTCCGCAGTCAGGCCTGCCTCGCCGAAGAACCGATCCACCGAGCTCGAAGTATCCGCCTGTCTCTCCACGTATCTGACGCTAGGGGTCCCATCCGAACTATTGGACTTCGGCCCATCCGCTGCCGTCCTTCTGATTGCTTCCGCGATCACCTCGGCCATTTTCATCATTGATTCCGCGTCCATCGTCGAAGTGATTCGTTCACTTCCTTCTCGGGTCCTCGGAGTTCACGTGGTTTACTCCCTTTTCGGTCTTCGTCGACTTCTTCGTGTTTCCTTTCAGAGCTGACCCCACTTCTGACTTGTAATGAGCTATTGGGTACACTCTAGTTAAGGAAAACAAGCATGAAGCGTGGACTGTAGATATGTGTTGTATTCTCTCTGCTCTCTTGTTTTTATATCGCTATCCCCTCTCTCTCCTACCATGTCTATCAATGCACGTCATCCCTGCTACGCGACTCGTGCCGCTTATCGATGCTCTCTACTCCACTTCTCACACACCAGACCTGCCATCGGAGAACATGAAAAATTCTTCGGTGATAGCGATCGAGACGCGAGCCTAATTATTCATCCTCAGACTGCTGACCTCGTGAATATCAACCAGGGAGGGCTTTGTCGCAGGAAAGCCATCAAAGGAAACATTCACGTCGATATATCCTTGAAGACTCCGGGCCGCAATGGAAAAAGCTCCAATTGAAATGCATGGATAACAAGACTCGAGCGCAGCGCCATGAGGTCTCCCGATCCCAATTATTGCCACTCGGTGTCGACTCGATTGACACCTTATCCTGAGTACCTCCCGTGGAAGTGCATGATCTCGTCCGGCCTTCTACCTTCCGAGAGCGCCTTAAGTACAGCAGAACTCTCTATGTTTGCGGCCGATTGGACACTGCTTGACCAAGCTCCACCCATTTCCGCGTCACGGACTTTGGGGAGCGGAGACGGAGTTACTCATCCACTCTACATACTCCACATGATTTTACTGATCGGCCGATTGCCGGTTCAAACCGGCGGGCACCAAGTTGCGGGTCGAACAAATGGCGAAGACTCCTTTCTTGCCTTCTGCCCGTCAATTAAGACTCGTCAACATTATCCGTCGGAAGAATGTGGCGGTCGGAGAGAACAACTCTTGGACAAGGGAATTGTCATATTTCGCGCGGAGCCGTCCATTCGTGCCGTATATATGGCTCGAACATAAAGGGTCAGGGGCTTCTCGATCTACCTTAATCACCCCATTTTCACGGCACGGGATTTCGCGAGGGATTCTCGGTCTCACCGATCTCGCAAAGTTTCCGAAGAGGGCTCCGGTGTGCCATCCTCACGATGGGATCGTAACAGTCCGCAGTGTACGATCTCAGGCAACGCTCGGCGTCCTGACGGAGTTTCCGGATAGGCAGCGGTGAGGCGACATCCTATCCCAATGGATTTATGGCGATGGAGGAGAAAACACCAGTGACATTGGGCCACAGATCTCGGACTCTGACCGCGGAAGAAATCGAGAAACTCTCTGACGATAAGGAGGTGAGCCATGTGATTTTGAATCTCGAGCGCAGGCAAGAAATCGTGGGTCGTGCTCATGGAGTTTTCACGGAATCTTGATTGTAACAAGTTTCGCTCTGTTTCCTCGTAGACCGTTTCGGACTTCAAACAGCGGAAACTCGAAGAGGAAGCGAAAAAGCATTGGGACAAGTTCTACATGCGAAATGAGACGAGGTTCTTCAAGGATCGTCATTGGACGACACGCGAATTCGAAGAGCTCCTCGGTCAGGACTTCGAGTTACCCTCGAAGGCAACCGGAGATCAACCGACGCTTCTCGAAGTGAGCGATTCGATCTACTCTCATCTAGTTGAACATTCTGCCACCTATCCAGGTCTCTTGATGTCATTCCGGGTGACGATGACGCTCACTCGATTGTCGTCGTCCTCTGATTAGGTCGGATGCGGGGTCGGGAACATGATTGTGCCTCTGATCGAGGAAGGAAGCGCTTTTCGATTTCTGGCTTGCGACTTCAGCCCTCGCGCCGTGGCCTTGCTGAAAGAAAACCCTATGTTTTCGAAAGGATCCCACCGAGCCTTCGTCTGCGACATGACGACATCTCAACTTCTCGAGGAGGTGCCGAGAGAAAGCGTGGATATTGTCACAATGATATTCATGCTCTCAGCCATCAGTCCTGAGAAAATGCCGACTGTGATCAACAACGTATTCTCGGCGAGTTACATTTTCGCGTTCTTCTCATATCCATCGTTAGAGCAATGCGCTAGGCCGAAGTTCAACGTCTTCTCGAACACACAGGTTCTTCGTCCTGGGGGAATGGTGCTCTTCCGCGATTATGGATTGTACGATCAGGCTCAGTTGAGGTGCGCGGGCAGCATTGGAATGTATTCTGTCGGAGTTCTCGATTCCCTGAGATAATCGATTTGAATTGACCGAGCTCGCTTTTCTCGACAGGTTCAAACGCGGACACAAACTCCGGGAAAACTTCTACGCTCGACAAGACGGGACCAGGCGAGTTCCCTCGTTCGCAGACTCTGGCTAAATAAGTCATCGAGGGTCTCGTCATTCCTTTTCTCCGAGTTTCTCGAACTGATCTCATCTTTACAGAGCTTTCTACTTTTCGGAGGAAGTCGTGAAGTCTCTCTTCGAGTCGGCTGGATTCCAGACCAAGGAAAACTCTTACGTCACTCGAAGCACAATCAATCGAAAAGAAGGCATCGACGTACCCCGGATTTTTGTGCAGTCGAAGTTTGTCAAGCCCCAAGCACGATATCTCATGCAGTTTGCGGATGGAGTGTGATCCATATCGCCTCCGGTGGCTACTGCATCATCCATACGAACGTGATATTCCAACCAATAAAAACCAAGCTTCCCTTCTTATCTTCGTTTGCTTTATATTTTCTGTCATTCACTTGGAGAGATGCGCTTAGCTAGAATCCGCGGAGGAGTTCCACACGTTTTCCGTACTATCACGATGAGTATCGGCCGAACGCGATGACTATCTGATGATGGACGACGGTGGAACAGAGACAGTGACGGTTTTAGCTAGTTTCCGAAGTCGACGGGAAACGCCCAGAGCAGGATATAACAACTTTGAGGTCTCAAACCAGCTTTTCCCCGATTTCCAGATACATTCGGAATGCATGCGGATTCTCCCATTCGTCAGGAAATCGAGCCCCTCTGGAGAATCAGCTCTAGAATGAGAACTTCGATACCAAGGTCACATATTTCCGTCCATCCACAGAAGAGCTCGAGATGAGAATCGGGTGTCGCGGCCCGCCTCCGTTTGAGGGGCGGCGATGATCCGCTCTCGAAAAGGGTTCGAATCACGGCGAAACTAGATCATAAGCGGATGAAGATATATCACTTTCTGCTCACTGAATTTGAAAACAGCTAAACAGCAAACAGAGTTGCTCCGATGGCGACTTCCGCCAGGATCAGATCTCCAAGTACACAAATGCACGCGCAATATGCTTCCATCTGTCTTGTATTTTTGATTAATCCGGATAGAACATTCAGTTGGTTCACGTCCGATCGCTTGTCGCCGAATCCGTCGGCGGCTGATTTCACCCAGGGTCGAGCGTTGGCCAGGGAAGGCGCGTTCGCATTCGTTCGGATGAGCTCGTGTCCCGTCACCGGCTGCTCGCGGACTCTGTGCAAAGCGCCGTCCGCAACGCCGCACGTCCTAGGCAGCTCCTCGGGGACCGGGGGGAAGCCTCGTAGTCAATTCGAGTTTCGAACAGGAGTGGACGAGAGACAGTCTACTGGAATTTCTTCAAGAGTTCAAGGGGATCCGGGAAGTGGTACCTGAGAAAGGGAAGGGCCTATCAGAAACTCCTCGGGGAACGGGATCGATGCGGGGTCGTTCCGAGATACGATGAAGCCTCCATGAACTACGATTCCTTCGTACTTGTATTTCGAGTAGATGGCCATGGTCGTCGTCAGAATGTTGCCGAGGAACATGACTCCGAAAAGAACTGCGGCGGCAGCACCGTGCCACGTGTAGGTGTCGGGGTGGGTGTGTATCAGATCCATGAGTAGATAAACCATGTAAAGTTGGAGGAACTGCAAAGACCAAAGACGATTCAAAATATTCCACTCAGAACTCAATTAAAAGAGAGCCGAGAGAAGAGCCCCTACATGGATTGTGATCTAAATACGGAGTACTCACGTAAACGGCGTAGAGGAAGGGCATCAGCAAGAAGAAATCTCTAAACATTGGCCCGGCCAACGATGTACGAATGCCCTCAACGCTCACTTCCATAGGATTTGCTTTGTCACCAAGAGCCTGAATGAACAAAAAGTTGAAACAGAATTTTTTTCCCCGAGTTGGGTCCGCTGGAGGGGCAGAGCTGATTCTGAGGTCAGTTGCTAACGAGATTATTCTGATATGCGTACGCCTTGGTTGCCGGCGCTCTTACCTGCAGCCGATACAACGTGCCGGCTTGATAACGATACTGCATCTGATGCGCGAGAAGCATTGTACAAGTATACACCAGGAACCACCATCGAAAATGTTGTTGGAATCCCTCCTTATCGGCCCTGCAACTCAGAGACAATTGAGATGAAAACGTATCACTCACACGGCACCGTTGACATCGTGTCAGCTGACAGAGCGGATATGAGACGGTGTCGCTGTCGTCGACACGTCGGATCAGCTAGCGGAGCAAGATGCATATCAATCGATAATCGAAGTTATCCGATAGCTAGAAGTCAGACTCACCATAAGACGACGATGCCTGAGAGACCCGTGGCGATGAAATGGTAGATTCGCCACCAACCGTTGATGCTGCGGAAACCGAACACGCATCAGAACCCGAACTCCGACCCGGAGACCCTCTTTATGAGACACTCCCAGAAATATTCGACTCATGAAGATGTTGCGCTGAGACTTACTTGCTGCCATTTACTTTCAGGATACTCTCTCGAATGGTGAGAGTACAATAGAACCAAACCAATGCGAATACGAGTACCGAGTCCCATATGCAACCCGGTCCCATATAAAGACACAGTAGTGAGAGAAACAGTAGTGCCCATGTGACGAATAGCTTGAAACTGAAAAAAAGGGATGTCGTATTCTATCGCTTCCCTTCCCGATACTAGTCTTTAAGCTGCGGGGAGCCAGCGCACTCACTTCTCGTATTCGATTTTGTAGTTCAGCTTCAGCTTATTCGAACGCATGTTGACATTCATGCTGCCAAGCACGAGATAAAGGTAGAAGCCGCTCTGAGCCGGAAGATTCCGGCGGACGAGTTTTATCGCTTGCTCGAGCTCTGTGATACTGGTCTCGAGTTCTGTGCGATTTGATTCGAGCTCGACCGGAAGTTGCTTCAAACTGCAACGATTCATCCATAGAGTATTAGAAGTTGCTCCGTGTGTTCCATTGGTCTTCGGTCGAATAATTTCTGGTCATTTATCATCAAGATGAAGTCGATGCTGAGAAGTAACTCACGCGGCCAACTGTTTCCGAAGAGGCTCCAGATTATGGAGGAGGTGTTTGACTTGTTTTTCGCAGAATTCCTCGCTCATCGATAGAGCTTTGATCTGTGAGGTATACGCGACGAACGCTGGCTGGAAACGCAATATCTTTGATAAGGGTCCGATCGGGAATGCAACGTAATCTCGGGTCTTTGGAATTATTCTGGTCTGACGTCTCCTCTCCGCGATAACGTGATCATGAACTGACCTGGAGCTTGTCCTCATACTCCGCATGGGTTTTGGCCAACTCGGAAGCGATCTGAGTCAGCTTCTCTGCTCCGTCCCCAGACTCCATGTTGCAAGATGTTGTTGCCACTAGAAATTATGGGAGGTCACCGTCGAAGTTCTCATCCGTTGAAGAGTTTCTGTCCCTCGACTTATCGCGGAATCGGATAAGCTCCCCAGAAATCGCACGAGCGATACGGCGCGGATTATCGAATTTTATCAGAAGGAAATCAAGGATACTCACACCGGATATCTTTTCATCCGAGAGACTGTCCCGTTGGAGGACAACTCCGGAGCGGAGTGCGCGCTCAGTTTACAGAGCTACGATGTTTCTGCTGCGATCTTCTGTAGACACGAAACCACCGATGAATTATTATCATACGACCGCCACGGCCAACGAGCGAAAACTTTGGATTGAGGGACAGCTCCTCACCGAAGTTCCGAAATCACCCGATTCCCCTGTTTGGAAGGCGGAGACTCGGAAGGATTCCTCACGCTCGGTCTGACAGGAGGTCCTGAGCGACACAATTCGCGAAGAGACAGGCCTCTCAACCGAGACCAAGAGAGCAAAGTTTACGACACAGTGTTGTCAGATTGCTCATTGCGAGAGTTTCCGACGAATCAAGCACGTCAGGATTAGATCACACCGCACTACATCAGTCGGCAGCCGGTCTACATACGTCAAGCGCGAACGGCAGCAGCTCAGAGATTCCGGGCGAAACAGGTCCTGCTCCACACAGCGTCAAACGTCAGAATTCGACTCTAAGCTCGTATCGCCTAGCGAGACGTGGATCGCTGAGCTCTGCTTTGCAATTGAAAAAGTTTCAATTGACCGTTGTGAAAAAGCCTCCAACTAACCGTTAGAGTCTCGAGATGACGTCGGACGATTGACAGTAAGACGCACGTCACAGGTCAGTCAGCTCGCGGCTCGAATACGAGCGGTCTGGGCTGTCCAACTGCTGTTGCTGCGGCTGACGGATAGATAGGTATTACATCCGCCGTTGCTGTCTTCACTAGAGACTTCTTGCATCACCAAAACACCACACACTGTTTTGCCAGGACGGACGTAGCGCCACCTAGCGGGATTCTCATCGCGCAGAGCCCGAGTTCCTTGGGTCACATTACTGGCGTGGATTCGGTCTGTTCATGTCGCATGCGAGTACGAGATGGTGCCTGGACGTCGGGCGACGTTCGGAGCCTGAAATCGCGATCGACGGCCCGGACGTATTCGAATCATCCCGCCGTTTCAAACGGGGCCTACTCTCTCCGCGCCTCTCCAGAGCGAATCAGCTGATCGTCAGGGAGAAGACGGTGAAATTGAGTCGAGTTTCTTCTCGGAATTCCCTCTCGTCGTTCGAGGAGAATTCTTCAACGAGCTGCGGGATAAGTCTCTGATCGTCTGAGTATGGTGCGGCTGCTGCAGAGAATCCCGGCGGCGCTCAAACCCAGCCGTTTCCTAGCTGGTGAACATCTCCCGATAGCGACTTGTCTAGCAATTCCCAAACGCACTCAGTCCACCGAGGACAAAAACGATCCACTGTCCAGGTAGCTGCTCAATCCGAAGCGAAAATCTCGCTTACCTTCGGCTTCCGGAGTATTATAACAACAAGAGACGCCTCTCCAAAACATATTTGCCCTCGCGATAAAAGTCCCTTCCCCTGGGAATCATATCAACCGAGGGAAGAGATGTTACCCGAGGTGATCATCTCGATTCCGAAGGGTCCCCGTTCCCGGCGTCAGATCTCATGAGTAGAAGGGAATAGGTTCCTTCATGGAGGCTGCAGTGCTCTCCCCTCGAGAACGCGGCTCCACGCATCAGATTACAATTTCGTTCGTATTATTAATGATTGAATTGTTGCTCTAGATGCAAACCGGTGAATCTAGCGTATTCGTCTTTTGAAGACACAAAAATCGAAACCAATCTCTCGCCTCTGGTGATCAATCATGGACTGTTCGGCTCGAAGTCGAACTGGAAAACGTTGGCGAAGCGATTCACACAGAAAACTGGCACGAAGGTAAAGTGAAGTGGTCTTTGCTGTCATCGACGTCCCTCAGATCTGACGCTTCTCATAAAGCCATTCGATTATTATTATTGATGACCGGAGTGATTTGATGTTCCTCCGCAAGAACAGGTATTTTGTGTCGACTCAAGAAACCATGGGGACTCACCTCAAACGGAAGAGATGTCCATTTACGACATGGCCGCCGATCTGGAATATTTCGCTAAGCAAAACGACTTTCCCCGGTAAGCCGAGAACATCCGAATGCCTCTGTGAAGGTTTCTATCGAAAAGTCATCGAGCAACAAGAGTTTGGTAACAGCGAGTTGCGGACGACCGGATTTTTGCAGGTGCGTCTTCCTCGGCCATTCGTTGGGCGGACGTGCTGTCATGACGCTAGCATTGACGAAGGTCGGTGGTCCCGTGAGATAATTGCCGGACGCACTCGCAACAATGTATATCAATCCGTTGACGCTGGGGGCTCTCGATTTCAGCCGAGTTTGATCGATAGGCTGATCGTCGTCGATATTTCACCGAACAGCCTACCAAACACCATAAATGGGGAAGCGAAGGTACATACATTCCCTCTATGCTCTGCGGAAGCAATTCTACCGGAGTCATTGATCAGAAAGTTCCAACGACCTTCCAGGTGGCTTTGTTGGCAATGGAAGAATCTCTGGCCCGGCTATCACCGGAATTGACTACTCGGGAAGCTCGTCTGAAGGCTGACGCTTTCATGGAGCTCACGATCAAGGTTTCTGGTTTTCGCTTTCGCATCACGGATACTTTAAGAGCTGGTGTCGTCTCCGAAATTATAGACACGACTTCCCCAGAGCGAATCTGCTCCGGACTGTCGATAGCGGATATTCTGATATTGCTGAAGTATTCGGATTGCGGCGGCGCGGTATCCGCACTGCGAGAGGCGACACAACGTGCCCTTTTGTGGAGAATCGGCAAGAGGTCTTTGGGGTCGAGGAACTCCGACTCGAGGCCTAAGCAAACGTTTCGATTCTAGGACTTCGGCTTGCGTCAATTCCTCCTGATGAATCTGCAGAAAGGACACCCAGATTTCAAGTATCTGATAAACCTGAAAGCGATAAAAAATAATGTGGATAAGCTGCTGCGAATGCCGGATCTGGAAGGTACATTCGAAGGTGACGTCCTATTCATTAGGGGAGGTAAGCGTTTGACTTCAGCACTTTCTCCCTCCTTCCATGGCACGGAAACGGAGTATACAAGAAGGGAATTCATCTCTGTCTCCTATTCGCAGGGAACTCCGGATACATAAAACGGAGTGATTTTCCCATAATCAAGAAATTTTTCCCTCGCGCACAAATCGAGACTATCGACAACGCTGCTCATTGGGTCCACGCGGATAAACCTAACGAATTCGTCGATCTCGTGTCGGATTTCATACTCAAGAAACAATCGCCATAGGATTTTAGCTTTCGAATATAGCCGGTTCAATTATCATTATCAGTCGGTCTACGGAGGAAGTCCGTCGGAGAGAAAAAAATTATCGACTCCGCCGATCTCAATGGTGGATCGGCCGCATCGTTTAGGAAATTTGTGATTCTGCATCGCGATCGCAGCGCTATCTCCTTGGAAGGAGAATGCAAGCCATGTGATAAAACGGTTGACCCACGACTCTCTGCTTGTATCTGCCATACGGAAGAATAAAGAGCTATTGCAGAGGAGCAGTGGTATGAATCAGATCGGATTATCATTCAAGCTCTTGGTGGAGAAATCCCCGCCGCTCCAAGGTCCACCATCGGGGAAGGGACCCAGGACTGCGGAGGGAGCTCAACACCCAGATTTGACAAGCTCCTCCCGCCCTGAAATAGGCCTGATAAGACTTGCTGTGAAGCCTCAACTTCTTCGCATTCAGGCCAACCCCATAGAGCCAACCCCTCATGCCAAATCGATGACGCACATTTCAACGCCGCATGTCACACCGTGTCTCCTCTCCGCCACCATATGATTTTTATTGTGGGCGGGAATCGATTCTCTCGACTCGTGTTTGTTATCGTTATCCGCCGAGGAAATTACCCGCGCTATCGTTTCATCGAATTCTCGTCAAAAATCGCCGAGAATGAGTTCTAGTCCGACCAAGTGGCAGAAGCTTCAGCAAGCTCTTTCACACGAAGACTCCCCAATGGAAGTCGACGAAGAAATGCAGATGGACACCTCAGATTCTGGTCAACTTAAATTCGCTGTTGAAGCTGATGCGAACCCAATGTTCCGGAAGAGAATGCGGCACATGGAAACAGACGAGAACTCCAGCCGAGTCGCCAATGAGATTGAGGAAAAACTCGCGGGTAACGTTTTCTCTCCAAATCATCAATATGCGAATCGCGCCCTTTCTGAGGACTTCATCGAAGACTCAGAGGAATTTCGACCAAGGAGCCCGTCACCGAATGTGTCCCCTAACAAGAGCAGTTACGAAGACACGGAGTCAATATCGAGATGGATCGAGAGAAACCGTAAGAGCGATCAAGCACAGGGAATTGAGGGCGGCGGGCGCGCGCCTTCGCCGCGCGGGAGACTGGGACCTGATAGCGGTTTGCTCGGATTCAATCCTCGCGTCTGAGCAGAATTTCGATCTGGTAGGGTGCCCGGGATGGCCGTCGGATGAAGCATAGGTATTCATTGATCCGGAGCACTTTGATAATAACAATACAACTAATAAACCAGGACGCATACATATGACGATTTCGAAAATGACCGGTGCCAACAAAAAGCTGTCAATCCCACCTCGTTGAGAATTCAATTCGCTTGTACAGAGAGAAGATGGGAACAAGTATTCTTCAGAGGAGAATAGGTGTTTTTCTTGCCTCACGCTATCGATACATGTGCCATAGGCCTGTAGATTGGAGCGGGCTCTGACATATGGCAGGAGACTCGATGATTCCGACTTGATCGACTCTATGAACAAGCAGATAGCGCCACTGGTTCTGTGAGTTAGGAATTTTATGTCACCAATGTTCTGGGGATTCGAATAAGGAGCCTATCGTCGCCGGGAGAGGTTCAAACCCGATCAACTTCGATTTTGTCCGCTCCGTCCCCCCACGACGCCTCCCGTTTTTAGCGAAGTGTCCGCCGAACAACCGCGTACGTGACAATGTCTAAAATGTTCTCAAAGATGCTGTTTGAGCTTAGGAAAGTCGTAAATGTGAATGGAAACATTGCAGGGAACGCTCAGTTCTCGCGAGCATTGGGCTCGAGGGACGCTGGCGAGTTTGCGAAGAAAATATCAGTGATCAACGAAAGTGATTTCTTTCCAAAACACGGACGGGAAGATGTTATTCCACTCGAGTACCGGCCGAAGCCTCTCCTGGCAAGCGAGGGCTCTGCTTCGGAGCCAAGTTCGGATGGGTGATACTTAGTACAGTGCGGCGAAGACGTGAGGATATTTCTCCTGCGTGCTTCGATGTCGTGAGCGGATCCTCTCGAATGACACGGCCTCCATGCCTGCTCCGTCGCTGAGGGCGCGCGGGGCCGGGTCAACGCTGCGGTGGCGGCGACTAGACTAGGTGGACGAATCTGGCGTCCTGGAGTAAGTAAGGCACTTAGTTGCTCTATCACCTCCGCCCACAATAATGGAAAAATTACCAACAGCTTCACGTACGGCCACGCCCAAACTCTACCTCTAGCATTACTTCGGGACGGCGAGGGAAAAAGAATCAACAGAAGAGTTCTTGCCGTAAGGGTACCCGTTCGACTCAATGCGTACACGCGATCAATGATAATCACCGAAGTCGAGACAGAAATCGTCTACGCACGGCTCGTTTGCACTTCTGATTTCCAGAACAGCGAGGCAGACTCAGAGTCGGTGGATAGCCGGATCTCTGAGATCATCGATCTCTTTTGAGGAATATTCCTCTGAATCATCCGAACACATTCAGCTTCTAAGTCTGACGAAAACCCCGGCGCGCATATTCATCATTCATCAGAGGCCCTGCCCCAATATTGAAGGTTCTTCAGGATCAGGCCCTCCGGCTCTCTGAGAGCCTCTCTCCCGAGCTCACAGTAGAAATTCCATCTAGGATGCGGTCGGTTGCTCGTTGAGGTCGGGCAGCGAACGCGAACTCCATGAATCTGAAGTTCGATTCGACCCTGCTCCTTCCGACTCGATCTCATCTGACTGAGCCGCTCTTCTGTCCCTTGACCCTCTTCTTAACTACTCCGTCCAGTATCTTTGCTTTTGAATGCCCCAGCCTCACTCGCCAAGCGGCTGAGTGTGACGCTAAGGTACAGGAAGCAATTATTTGGAAATCAAGCATCTATCGCGCGCGGCATCTACCGGGTCCGCTGTGAAAGCAAACTTTGCGAGCTGCTCTCTCCCACTCAGACACGTACAAATACACCCGTGCAAAACTTGGAACAGGCGTTAATGCCTCGGACATTTTTTGGTTGACTGCTTCGTCTCAAAGACAGAGGGAGGTCAATCATGCCGGATAAAAGAGAAGCGTTCACACAGCTCGACCAGAGAACCTGCACAGAATACATTTCCGTTGGGATTGTCCTCTCTCCTCCGGGAGACGAACAGGAACATTGTCCTCCGAAAATCTGTGTCCTGGAGGATGTTACAGGAGTCTGAGTCTTGTCCCGAGTTTCTCCGCCCGGACACGGATTGGAGCGAGATCAGAGCTCTCGCGAGAAATTTCGAGATCGAGAGACGATCCCAGTTGTATGAGGTACATGATTCCAATCGTGACTCATTTTTTCGGCGCACATGAGAATGAGTCCAAGAATCCTCCAGGATGATCACTGATCGCCGGGTCCATGGGATCGCGTTCGCGCATATTTCGCCCGCCGGAAGCATTGCTCAACAACGTTCTCGTCGCGTTTCATGCAATTCCATATTCCCTCCAAATCCGCCTCCCATTCGGGAGGTGAGCGAAGTTTCGGCTGGCAATGGTCAGCACAGGAGTGTTGCAACACGATTCGGGAGAGCTGCTGGGAACTCATCTGATGCGCTTCCATTACCTCCATCCCCCGAATTTCAGTGAGAGCTTCGTATCCAGAGCGATTTTCCTTGAGGCCACGGGGCGTCTGCTCTTCAGGGGAGAGCGAAAATTGGCGTATTGCTTATCGGCGCACTTCCGGTAATCAGACGAGCCTTTACAAGAGAACCTCCTCGCATCTTTTGGATCAGGAACGAAAAAAAAGATGAATCTCGTCGTGGACTGGGAAACCCACCACGGAGAGCACGATGCTGGCTTAATATCCGACATCGATGCGGGTGTCATCTGTTGGCTCTGGGTGTCCCAGAAGAATACGCAAATGCACTGAATAAACAGGGCGCGGACGCTCTCGAAGGAATGTTTGCCCAGACAGGAGCCATATTCTCGGTCGGAAGCGATCCAGTACGATTACGTGGTGTCTTGGTGATGCACTCCCGTCTGGAACTTTCGAGAGTCCGCCTCTCGGGAACTTTCCCGTACACCATCTCGCCATTGGGAATGGGAACGTGTCTTCGCGATCCTCCTCTGCTTTGCGAGTCGCGACACTATAGCCCCTTCCGCTAGGTACAACATTATCGGCGAGTCCACGTATAGTCGAGCCCGCGAAGCGCCGACCAGACGTCGACCGTAATCGCGCGGACTGAATAGATCCCAGAAGAAGAGACGGAGAGGATTGTGATGGAACAGCAAGAATTCGAGACGTCGGCAGATGGCCCACTGTGCAACAGCTGCAATTGGCACCGCAGTGTGAGTGTCGTTGGGCTGGGACAACTGCTCTATCGAGGCGGCGGATTCTTTTCGGGGAGACAGCTTCTGAAATGACTCCGAACAAGCGCATCGTCTGGGACGATAGAGCCCGCCGAACACCTCTCTGTTTTTTTCTTTTCCAGTTTCTCTGATTGCTTCCAACTGTCGGCCTCGACTCTTTTCGCGAATCGACTCCCCGGTCTTGGCTGCTCCGCGAATTGTTGACACTCTGGAGGATGCTCAAACACTCACTTGAAGGATTCTGATATTCGTGAAGTGATTCGGAGTCGTCTTGATTATTCGGTCCGCTGCTTTTCATCGGGAGTCCGAGTGTCCAGCTCGCATTTTCTCTATTTTCTTTCCTGTGACGTCGGATGGAGAAATTCGTAGCTTACCTTCGACTATTCGTGAGTTAAGCAGGAATGCGTTCACGAATGTGGTCAGAGCTCGGAATGAAAGCACCGATTGAGTTTCTCGCGAGAGTCATTCGATCGCTCCGCGTGGCCTTCTACGAGCGGATCCTCGGACCCTGCTCATGTAATGCATAGGAAGAATTATCGCGGGGTATCAAATTCGAGCGGAGACAACCGATGAGACCGGGAATGAAAGCATGGCTCCATTGGCGGCTATATGAGGCATTGGAAAACTTTACTCGCTCGGCAAAACGGCTTTTGGGCAGCTCTGCCGTGGGGACTTTAACGAGCTCACTCACTCAGTCCAATCCAGCCGGACGACCCCATGTGTACAGGACGGTGGCAATTAGCGCCGAGGGCAAATCAATGAGTCTTCTAGGCGTATTGTGGACCGGCGATCAAGGCTACAAGAGTTTCGCGACGGCCACTCGCCTAGCAGTGAGACGACCGAAGCCTCTCTTCGATACGGTTTCCGCACCCTCGGGGGAACGAATCGCGGGAAGCTCTCCGATGATGCATCCTCGAGAGCGTGCGTAGATTTGCTTTCGTGACCCTGGCCTGGACTACGACATTCCTCGCGGCTCCGAATGAGAATATCCCTGCGCCGAGTTGACCCTATGACTTTCGGAGAGCGCTCTGTGGGAATCGTCTTGAGTCTGTGACGCGTTATTTCTGATGTCTCGAGCATATGCGTCACCGGTGATTCTGCATCAGATAGAGCGGTGCTTCCGCGAAGATGGCGGCCGGTAATGGGAGGCTCACAGCTGTCAAGCTTTTTTTGTCCATGGCTCGGTTTGTCTTGGAATTCTTCGAGATCGCCGAGTGGGGGAGTTGGAACTTGGCATCGTCCGAACACCGCGATGAGATCGGTAAGATAAATGGCGGCCTCATGAGAGTTCCTTTCGGAAACAACTGAAGTTGAACATTCCGAAGTCTCCTACGGTAGAAAATAGACGAGCACTCCGATTGCTAAGCCAGAACTGTGGATTTTCCTTAGCATTCTCTTTGCAGCTTAACGTCAATGGCGCATGGTCCACGGAGAGCTCAACGGCTGCGATAGCGGACACACCCATACCATGCTCGATAACCATTGCCAATAGAACGGTGCTCGATGGCGCTCTATGGTCCAGACTCCTGGAACTCGATGCGGATAACCCAGGATAAGGATAATCCGAGGTGGATCGAAGAGAG